GTGTTTTTATGTCAGCTGATGTATATCAGTAAGATTGTTTGTCTATGAGGCTGTATATCAATGAGCTTGTGTGTGTCACTGAAATGTCAGTGAAATTGCCTGTGTCTGCATGTGCGTATGCTTACTGTATAATTAAACGTTTTACCCTGAAAGGACCAATATTTTATATTAGAAAAAGCATATATATATATATATATATATATATATATTACTCAATCATCTGTCCTGTCAAGACATAGCCTTACATATTACACGCGACAATATATGGCGCAGTGACTTATGGGGCTGGCACAATTTTTTTTTTCCAGGGCTGCTTTGTATCCCCAGTCCGGCCCTGGTCACTAGCAACAGAGAACCACTTACCTTATTCTCACCCATCTGTAACCACAGTCCATGTCGTGTAAACAATTACATTTGTCTTATTGAGATAGTTCTACAAATACCACACACAACTGAGTTAATGTTAAAAACAGAAGAATATTCAAGTAGAAAAGCACCAACCGTGTCCGCACTTAATAAATATTTATTGTTTTCCTCAAACTGGTTACCCCTGGGACTATCCATGGCAAACACACCATTTATTTCCCTCTCTCTAATGCCTACAATCAATCAGGGTTTAAGTAACCTCTTCCAAGTGCCTGTGACAGATTGAACTCATAATCAATACCTTTACTGGTATTTAGAAGCTGAATTCACAATTCGTTATTTATATAACCTGATGCCTGGTACTGCTCAGATAGATATAGTTAAAATTAAAAGTAACAAAAATGAGAAGGAACAAATCGAGATCTTTAAAGGGTTACTCCAGCCTCGATGACAACTTCTGCTTTTAGAAATGGTCATGGAATAAGGAGTGTGTTTGTTCAGAGATTCTGCTTGAAAAGCTGCACATACAAAGATATCTGCATTTTTGTGAATGTACCCTCCCTCCCTTCCGCATTACAGTTGTTCAAAGCCCACCCTGCCTACCTACACAGGGCCAGCTCTTGGCAGGTGAAGAAGGTGCATTACACCTGGCTCTGCTCTTCAACCAGCCCTGCACCAATCAAATGGGGCACCCCACAACCCAGCATCAGAGACATACTGTCTCTGGTGCCGGCATACTGGCTGGTCAGCTGCTATCGGGGGACGTAGGCAGTTTGTGATCTGTACCTCCAACAGATGCACCCAGTAGCAATCACTCCCTGTAATGGTTACCATGACAACATTCTGATTCCTTACTGACCGCCAGCCTGGGGGGGTTTTACTCGGGGTCTGCACCTGCCAGGGGTGCAAATCAAATAATTAGCCGACCACCGGGGATCAGCTTTCCCCTCTCCCTGACCTAGTTAAGCAAAAGGATGGGGTGAATACAATTCTATCCCCCCAACAGTTAAACCACTATGCCCCACAATTAATGTCCCCATATAGTGTAATCCCTATTCCTCACACTAAAGCCCACATCCCCCCACAATTACACTATACTGTAACTGTGCCTACAATGCAGCCTCAACCTCCCCACAACACTGCCCCTATCCCTCACACTAAAGCTCCTATCCCCCTAAATGCTGCACCTATCCCCCCACAATACAACCCATACACACACCCCAAACTACAGCCTTTATTTCCCATATCCCACATACAGTACAGCCCTCATCCTGCATTACACAGTACAACCCCTCATTACTCGGTCCCCCACAAACAATCATTATAGCTCTTATCCCCCTCTACACTATCTCTCCTTCACACACACTACAGTCCCTACCCAACAAAAACACACATTACAGTCCCTACCTTGCACACACTATAGTCCTTTTCCTGTCACATGCACATACACTATAGCCCCAATTAATCCATCCACACACTACTGCCCCAATCTACCCCACACAAACATAACTGCTATCCACAAACAGATTGCATCCCTTACCCCTTCCACACACACAGCCCCCTCCACACACTACACCACAAACAGCCTCATACAAACACACACACACACACACACACTACTCCCCACAAGCAGCCTCCCCCACAACTTAATCCCACAAGCAGTGTCCCCCCACACAAGCAACCTCACAAGCAGCATTCACACAATTTTTTGTTTGGAGCAATTTTGAGCAGCCAACGACTTGGCTAATTCTAGCAAAAAGCAACTGGGGTGAAGCACAGATGCGGTCGCAAGATATTTTTATTCCAACAGCTAAAGTTAATAGACCTGCTGTTATTGTATTGCTCTAGACATTGCTTCATAAATAGAGCTATGGGAGGAAAAGCTATTTGTGAGGTGTCTGTACCGTTTCTTATCAGCACAAAGAATATGGTCTCGCAACGTCTTAATTCAACCTGCATAAAATTATTAAAGTAATTTAATTTGCTTTTTACATTTTAACATTTTCTGGTCTGCTTCTTAGTAAATTGAATATTCATAGGTGGCCCCAGTCTATTAGACGGCCACATATAGCTTTTGCTTTGGCTTAGGGTATGTAAAGAAATGGGCGGTGAGGTGGGGGTTTGGTGACAGGATGAGGGTATATATGTAAATGGAAGGTGACATGGGGGTTCTTTGACAATGTGGGGTATTTAAAGAAATGGGAGGTGAGGGGAGGGTTAGGTGACAGGATGAGGGTATATATGTAAATGAGAGGTGACATGGGGGTTCTTTGACAATGTGGGGTATCTAAAGAAATGGGAGGTGAGGTGGGGGTTAGGTGACAGGATGGGGGTATAAATGTAAATAGGAGGTGACGTGGAGGTACTTTAACAATGTGAGGTATGAGGTATGTATAGAAATGGGAGGTGAGGGTTAGGTCCCAGGATGGGTGATGTATATAATTGAGTGGTGAGGTAGGTTTTAGACGTGTTGGCATGTGAGAATGAGAGGTGTACATATATGTTGCAAGTGTTTTTGATTTTGTTTTTATTTTTTAGACTCCCCCATGTCCTTTTGGGACTCTGTCTACTCCAGTGTGTAATTTTCACTATCTTCCATCATTTGTGATTTTACTGAAGCCATCTGTGTGACACCAAATGTATTGTCTATCACACCATCACTCTCTACATCACTATTTTGTCACCCATCTTACCCACTCCCTTTCGACTGTGCCTCTGCCACACCTCCATAATAAATAACCCATTTGTGCCTTTGCTCTCACCCACATTTCTCTCCCATCACATAACATTGTCTTTTATAATTGATTTATGAAAATCTCTAAGGCAGCCCCCGAGTTACCAATAATGCCATCTCCACAAAAGAATGCAACTTTTAAAGATCCCAGAGATGACAGTGACGTTTAAATTTCTGCAATTCTTTTTTTTTTTATTTACTTATTTCTCCGCAGGGGTGGGGGAGGAATCCCACTAGTAATAGCAAATTTGGGGCTCCAATAGCTGAACTGAAAGATCCCCCAAAATACATTTATATATCCAATTTGGCAATTTTTGCCTAAAATGTAATATTTTTTTACTTTGAATTTCTGTCAGTTCACACTTTATAACTCTGTTCACAGTGAGATATCTGTGAGAAGCACTATGTCACAGGTTATCTGTTAAGATAAATGTGATTTATCCCAGGTCCCAGCCCATTACAGCAGGGCTTTATTGTTTGATTTAGAGGCTAATCACTCATTATTTACAGACGTTACTCTACATGTACAATAACAGAGGCTTAGGCTGATCCCTGAACAAACAATGAGCCCCAAGCAGGCGCCCATTATCTATTGTCACCGTTGCCCATCAACCAGCAACACAACACACTCAGATTTGTTTGCCCAGCGCGCGCTCTGCAACGGACTAAATAGTCAGCCGTTGAGAGTAGCGGGACTCAGCGGCACTCGGGGATTCGTAGTCCTTTAATGACGTCACAGCCACACGTCCTCACGTAATTCTTCCACTTCTCAAACTCCATTTCCCAGAACCCTCCGCCCTGCTCAAGCCAGTCTAAGCGTCAAGGGAGCAAGCTGGGGTCCGCCCGCTTGGCGTCGCCGTTTCTATGCAATCCGCTCCTTCCTTTCCCCCCCTTGGTTACTGCGCATGCTCCTATTCTCAAAGCCGAGTTGCGACAGCAACGTTGCGTTGCTGAGTGTCCGGGCACCTCCGTTACGCAACGATCGCTGCAAGTGATTGAGTTTTAGTGTATTATTTCACCTTCAGTGGTTCGTGCAATGATTATTCGGCGTGCTGTGACTGTCAATAGCCGCAGCCTTCCTTAATCAATGACTAGTTACTGATACTGTAGCAATATCTTGGGATCAGGCGTGTATCAGATGTGTTTCTCCATGTTATAATAATAATATGACCTCCCTGGGGGTGTGGGATGCTGTATAAACATATCTGCTGGATTCTGCATGCTTGCTGCATCTTCCAGACCCTCACAGTCTGCACATTGCTCCATCTCCCAGACCCTGCATGGCTGGGGAATAGCCTGACACATTGTATTCTGCATTACTGGCAATAAAGAGCATGCTGGAAGCATTGTTTTGGTACATATTGCACCCACAGAGGAGAGAGCTAGAAAGGGACTCACTGTAAATCCACTCATTGGAGACCCAGCATCCTGATCACCTGCATTTGGATTACAATTATTTGCTGCACATTGAGGGCTGATCCCAATGCAATCCTTATTATAGAAACATGTCTGTAGTGCAGCCATTGGAAACCCACACATCCTGACCACCTGCTTCGTTTTATTTTCTATTTGTTGTGTTTGCATTTGCATGCACACTTACCAAACCTAGCTAACCCCACTGCAGCAGCAACCTGTCACTTGGACTAGGGGACCCCCACCCCCCCACAACCTGTCACTGGGACTAGGGGACCCCCACAACCTGTCACTGGGACTAGGGGAGCCCCCCAACCTGTCACTGGGACTAGGGGACCCCCACCCCTCACAACCTGTCACTGGGACTAGGGGACCCCCACCCCCAACCTGTCACTGGGACTAGGGGACCCCCACCCCCCACAACCTGTCACTGTGACTAGGGGACCCCCACCCCCTCCCCACAACCTGTCACTGGGACTAGGGATCCCCCCCTCCCCTTTGTTTGCATTGTAAAGGTGGCTTAAAGAGCCCCTTGGGAGCTGCTGGTTGCAGCATCAAGGAGAAGGCGGGGGCTTGGAAGTGATTTTGCATTGAGAAGGATTCATGGATGCTCTCAGTTCATTGCTCTGCCTGCTGGGGATATCTGCTGCCTGCATGGACAGGGGATTATGGTGGCACTAGATAGCTGCTGTGCAAGGGCTCTCATTAGTTCTCCATTTAATAAGGAAATCCAGTCCCTGACAGGCTCCCTTGTGGTGGTGGAGGAGGAGGAGCTGCTGCTGCCTGCAGCTCTTGGGAAGAGGACACCCTGCCAGGAGAAGACCTTGTGCCACCCTCCTTCTTCTTCTTCATCCTGCTGCCTCCTCTGCACATAGAGTTATCATGGCGGACAGGACACCTCCAGGGGGCCAGCTTCGATTGGAGTGGGTGTATGGGTACAGGGGCCACCAATGCAGGAACAACCTGTACTACACAGCCGGCAAGGAAGTGGTCTACTTTGTGGCTGGGGTTGGGGTGGTCTACAACACTAGGGAGCACAGCCAGAGGTTCTTCATGGGCCACAATGATGATATCATCAGGTAAGACACAATCACAAGATGGGTGTGGATCTTGGGTGAACCCCCAAAATTCATACACCCCCAACCTCAGCTTTACCTGCCTAGTCTGTGATAGTCCAGGGGGTGGGCTAGGGGTCTGCTGAAGCTCTAACATGATGCTTGGGGCTTCCTTGCACCAACTTTTCTCACGCTGTAGAATTAAAATGTCTTTTATGGATGCATTGATTTGATGGGTGTTCATGGCTTAACAGGTTTTCCCTCTTGAAATGGAACATGGGATCTATTATATGTAAATAGACACATATTAATGTAATATTTAAACTAAGGGTGAGTAAAAGGTAAGATCTCCAGCTGTTGTGGAACTGCCACTCTCACTATGCTTTGCCAGCATTAAGGAATTACCTTTCAGTCACCCCCTGTTTAACATGCCATATTAAATGATAAGATTAAAACCCAAAAGCAGTATTAAGTCATTAACATGTAAATATGATTAATGTATTTACTGTAACATTTGCCACTCCAGCTGTTACAGACTACAGTTCTAAATGTATGATTTTTCTACAGCTCAGTATAATTAACCATCAGTCTGAATTGTTAACCACTACCTATACTGTTAATGTTTTAAATAACAGGTGTAACATTTTAATATTTGAGCCCAGAGATTGTGTCTTGCTGAGTAGACATAAATAATTAATATACTGATTGGTTTTTTTATTTTTATTTATTTTTTATTTTTATTTATTTGTTTTTATTTTGCTAATAATGATCTTTTTTTAGCGCATGAGTCCCCAGTTTGTGTGTTATAGGAAAGAATAAATGTTCATAGAAATATATGATTTTTTTTTTTATATAGCTGTTTTCTATAAGGCTATACGGAAAAGAGAGGATCACATTTTTGAATCAGTGCCTAATTTGGAAAGTTTGGTGAGAGGAATACTGAGTGTCTACAACCTATATGAAAAAGCCTATCTAAATTTCAATATGATTACCTTATTCGAAGTGGGCCGTCTTTTGCCTTCAGAACATCTTTAGTCTTTCTTTGAGTGCCTTTCTGTATTTCTTTTAACTGTATGTAGTGGGATATTGTACTAGTGACTATGGAGACATCTCAAGCTGCTATCCTGTGAGACTGCTAATTATATAAACTGAGCAATTCTTCCTTAAAAAAAACAAAAAACGATTGGTTTGCTGACTTCACAACGTAGGAAAGTATACCGTTATATTGTTTTTATTAGATATTTATTAGACAGTTCAGTTTCTTTCATGTACAAATGAATGGAATTTTGCAGATGTTTTAGTTAAATATGTACCTGTATACGCTGTTATGCTTGTTTTCATAAGGTAAGAAAATTCACCTTTAAGGTTGTACCAGTATAATGCAATACATATTCATCAGTTGGAAAGCTCCTATTTATATAGAAAATCCTACAGTTCTAAAGGAATTCATGAAGTTTAGATCTTGTGATGGGTCCATCGAAACTTCTCTTTGTTCATGAAATCTCAGTTGAGATTATTTAGCAGTGTGTATGGGACCATTATAATCCTGGCCTGCAGTCGTTCTGGATCGCAATAATCTTTGTCCATTGACAGCAGATATTGGGATTGCGTACTTTGGCTTCTCCAAGACTAATCTTGTCTAGATGTAAGCAATATGGTGAAATATGCCTAAAACCAGGAGATGTTTCCATTGACAAGTTTTGTGCTCCTTGCCCCATGTTAAAGTCTCTTTTTGCATTGGCCTTGGCTACAATTGGTTTTAGTATAGCAGAGCTACTACAAATTTTTATCTTTGTGAAGCTGTATTTTTGGGGGCTTGGGTCATTAAGGTGCTGACTAGTGATGTCCCGAACTTTTCGCCGAACGGTTCGCCGAACGGTTCGCCGAACGGTTCGCGAACGGTTTGCCGCGGTTCGCTCTGAACGGTCCGCCTCCTGGACAGCTCACTAAGAATGCAGCTTCACAATGGATGCTGTCCAGGAGGTGGGAGGGTCTGGGAGGGAGGGTCTGCTGCTGATTGGCTGGAATGTGTCTGCTGACTGTGAGGTACAGGGTCAAAGTTTACTCAATGATGAGTCCGTGGCGAACAGTTCGGGACATCACTAGCGCTGACCCATTTCTGTGAATGTTTTTGAGTTGCAACAAAAGCAGAGAATCTAATAACTCTGAGAATTGTCAAAAGCTTAAAGAAACCCAGTAGCTTTCCCTTCGGTTAGTCCCTGCTCAGGTCACAAAAATGTTTTTGCTCACTTGTGCCATTACAAAAAAACCCTATACCATTTGCATATCAGACTGATCCCACCCATAAAGGCAGTCTAGAACCGAAATGCTAGCACGTTCTCTTTGCATGAGAGATACAGAAACCCTGAACGATCGTTTCACTTTTCTTTAGGCTTCCTCAGCAAAGTCTAGTAATCCTTTTAGGCACAGTGAGCATAAGGTCCACGTCTGGATAACCCTTTAAGCTTAGGAAGAGCCCAAACAAATGCATTGCAGCAAAAACAGAGAATATGAGAACTCTAAGAATGGGCAAAAGCTTAGAGAGCCTCAATAGCTTGTCCTTCGGCTACTCCCCGCTTGGGTCTCAAAAATGTTCTTGCTCACTTTTGCCATTACAATGTTTTTGAGTTAGTAGTGTTGTGTCTCATTACAGCTATCCTTCACTCCATAAATCCTTGTAGGTGAACTTTGACTTGCTAACACTGTTCCTGTTTGCTCATGCAGATCATGTGGGGAATTGTCATGATGGGTAGTAGTCCCAACATGCAAATCTAGGAAAGCTAGAAAGATAGAAGTCCTTAGAGTTGGCCAGGCTTAGCGGTATACCTAAAATGGCAATGGTCAGAGAGTAAGCCATGGTTAAGAAATACTGCAGGATAATAAGCAAGCCAAGGGTTGAGGCGCACAGAGATCAGGATAGACAATGATCAAAAGTCTAATTCCAGAATAACCAAAGTCAGAATGCACTCTTGGGCTGCTAGAGACAACAAGAGGGCACCGATCTCTTAGTGGAACGAGTTTTAATATACCTAGCATCTGACATAAACAGAGTGACTCCAAAATGGTATTGATTTGTGAAATGAAGCGGAACTTATGTAATTTAGAGCTACATATTTAGTGTGGGCATTTCTGTGTGTCACTATCGATATAGGACTATCACGAGGTTGACACCTCCCAGGATATTGATGTGTTGATGTTGATGCAGGATCAAAGCACATTGTTACACTGGGCATTAGTTTGACACTGAGAACAACCCAAAAATGTGACAGCAATGCTGTTCATATCCAAAAAAATCCCTATACAATAGAGGTTTATATGACATATAATTAAGTTACTGCATATACTTTTTTAAAAATTTGTAAAAAAATGTTTTTATATATTTTTGTCGTAGCATGTTTAGGATATTCACACAGGTATAGGCATTTTACTCTACATTTTAAGTGCATACAAAAATAAAAGTAAAAGGTGTCACACAAATATAACGTGAAAATATCACAGAATAGCACTTAATTCCTATCTGGATATCTGCACTTTATAATTTGGACTCTTCAGGAATGTTGAGTTAAATCGCTGGTACTAGTGTCCCAAGAGAGAAATTGCGTGTCTTGTGGTAAAGAGCCCCGTGATGTGGTGAGGTGGGATTCTCCATCGGCGGGCAATAAACAGAAATTAACGTAAAGGAGAGAATTTAGGAAACAGTCATTGGAAGAGGGGCTATGTCTAGCACTAACAGATTAATAACAGTTGGAGCAGTAGGTGGGTGCACGCCACTGCCGTCAGCAGGTCTCAGGTGCCCTTAGATGTCCGTGCCACCGCTGTACGCTGCTGCTTGGGGTAAAATAGCTGGATATTAAACACATCTCATGATGGAGAATCGTTAGAGGTAGTTGCTTCAAGTCTCGGTACATTGTCAGGGACGGGTAAGTCCAGTGCCTTGAGAAATTGCTCTGCTTCAGAAATCTGTGTGAGGTGAATACGCTTCTCGTCGTGCTGCACTGATAACTTTTGTCCCAGGCCCCATCAGTATCTGACCCCTCTGTCTCTCAGCATCTTAGTGACCGGTTGCAAGGAGTGTCTCCAGAGCTTTGTGGACCTAGAAAGGTAGTTAAAGAAAGAGAGGTCTGAGCCTACAAAATGATAGGTATGTGAGTAGAACTAAATTTTTTTTTAAAAATCTTATTTTCTCCCATTTTCTTCATATTAAATTATGTTTCATAGCTAAATATTTGATATTAAATGAAAGCCCTGTTTCCCCTGAATAAAATGATATATAATAAGGGTGGGTGCATTTCCTATGAAAGAGGTGAATTACGGTTGGACAGACATGTAGCGCAAATGCCAGGTTTTGTTTACATTTTGTTTCGTTCACAACATGTACATTTGGCTCCATCCTTAAGGGGGTTAACTAGCTTATGAACTCTCTGTTTATTTACTTTTTCTGGCTATTCTCCGCTAACCTGCACCTTTCACTTTCAGGCACATCTTCTGCTAGTTATGACACGCCACTCGCCCCCTCACTCTCCTTCTCTAACATCAGTTAAGTGTTAAACTCGATCAGATTGATCAGTATTGCTTCAGACCTGAGGAAGAGAGTAAACTCTCGAAAGCTTCTCTTTGAAATATTATGTTAGTCCAATAAAAAAGGTACCATTGCATACTGCAATACTCTTATTTTTTTTTATATATATATTATAACACACCTCTGTTTTTATCATTTCAGGCGCTACCTTTATCCCCCGTTTGTACTAATATATGCCTGAGTGAGTGGTTGAGCTATGTAGGGACTTATTAATTTGGGGAGAAGATTACTGAAAATCAAATTTACTACTTTCTGGAGATTATTCACCAAACACACCATTAGGTGACCAAAGCGGCCGCCTAGGGCCTGGGCTTCAACATGGGCCTGGTTTTTGCCCCGTTTGGGCTGGGAGCTCTGGCTCTAAATGGGCCCTTCTCAAGCAGGGAACACATAGACATGCTCTGCCCCCAAAACAGCTGTACTCCACACACACAACACTCAGCCACTACACACAAGTCTCAACACACAGATCACTCACAGAAACAGAGTGCAGGGCCCCAAACTGGCACCCTGTCCATGGTCTCGGATAACCTTAATGGAACGCTGTAATATCAGGAATACAAAAATATATTCCTGACACTACAGTCATCAAGGGGCAGTTTAGATTTACGTGACCACTCTCCTCCCCGATCTTAGTAAATGGGGATTTACTCATCTGTTCTCCCACACCACGTCTATCTCACAGTGGCTGGATTCACCTTCATGGCTGAGATCTTTCCAATAGCATTGGGAGGCTTTTGTGCATGCGCGGCAAAATGCTGTGCTGCGTCAATCAGCATCTCTTCGTATAGATGCATTGAGTCAATGCATCCATTTGGGGAACATTCAGCATCTCCACGCAGTGTTTACATTTAAAAGCCTGCAGTGACAGGCTATAGATACCAGAACATTAAAGGATCACTATAGGGTCAGGAATATAAACATGTATTCCTGACCCTATAGTGAAAACCCACCATTTAAGTGGCTTTCCCCCCCACCCCCCGCCCTTAACCCCCTTAGAATGGCGCTGGCCCCGCCCCCTTGGTGACATCATCAAAATTGCCAAAAAGCATTGGATTGGCTAAAATCGACAAGGTGGGCGGTGCCAAACATTAAGCTGTAGTTGTTCTGGTGACTATAGTGTCCCTTTAAACTGTAGTTGTTCTGGTGACTATAGTGTATCTTTTATCTTGCTAAAACCAGCCAAGCTGGTTGGAGTTGGAATTTTTGAGTTTTTAAAGATTTAACATTTTTTGTAGAAATGTTGCAATTTGTACAATTCATTGTTCTATGAATAAAGTATTGCTTAGAGTTTAAAGGGATATTGTACCAGAATCCTTTCCGCTATTTGGAGTTGTTATGATGCTGTGATGCCATCTCTATAGTCATTAATTTTGATTATTTAGCAAACTGACAAAGCAAGGCTTTAAAATTGCTCATAGCTCAACCTACAAACCAGGGGTGTTGCTAGGTTCCAGAAATACCTGGGGCTTGAGCCCAAGGGAAATTTTGATTACCCCCTACGTGACATATGTACCTTCCTCTCTACCCATGAACAGCATGCTGCTGGAACTCTCCGGGATCTCAATAATCTACATGGTACACACCCGTCACCCATGTATTCAATGTAATTCTGCAATCCTACCTAACTAATAGAGAGGAGTGCAGAAAGGTTATCTTCACCAGCATCCCTCTTAACAGTTCCCTGGGAGTCACGACCACCTCCCTCTTAATAACCTTAATATACTAGTGATCACTCTTTTTATATTGGTGGCTGCTTGGAGAAGCAACTGTCTGCTTAAAATCTAAGAATAAAAAAACATCCTCCTGCGTCCTCCACCAACTGTAAAGATGCAGGACTAAAGAGACTCGTATCCAGGCCATCAACCCTCAAGGCTGCTTGCCTCAGAAATGCTACAAACCCTGTCAGTTAGGAAGCTGGCATTACAATAACTTGACTGACATCATGCATAGTATGCTAACGTGGAGCGACTTGCAGGAACTGTTCAAGTCAAAGAGTGACCTGTCTGTAAGATGATTGGTGCTGGGCATTCATGGGCCATGAGCAGCTTCAAGGAAACTTGCTTGCAAGCTCTCGCTTGTGGTGAGCAGCGCATACAAGTTCCTCCACATTTCCAATGACATGTCAACTCATTGTTGCAAGCTGGTATGAGAGCCAGGAAGTGTACATTTTTAGTTCTCTGATTGACGGAACTAGTAGGCGGAGCAAAAAATGTTTTTCTTCTTGATGAAAATTCTTTTTGACTGTGTCTGTCTCTTTATGACTGTGTGGAGACTACTTTGTTTCAAGAAAAAGCCTATCTTTGTCAAACTGTGGCAGGAGGATTTTCAGCCTCCGCATTCTTCCATTTTCTATCCTCCTTCTGTTTTAACAGCTGATGATAATAGGTATCATCTTGTGCAAAGTGCAATAGAAGCCTGTGGACCTTATTGCGCAAAACCTAGATTTTATTAAGACACGGAGGCTCCTATTATGCTGCACTCTTTCTTTATTTTCCCTCAGCAGCAAAGAATTTTTTTTTTTAAACGTAATCAAAGTTAACAATAAACAGTCTGAGAGGAGTATCCTAGCAACAGGAACAGCCAATCGGATTCCACTCTCCAGCATAATAGGCTCTGTGAACCAATCCAATTCCTCTTTCTTTGCTGCTCCCTCAGTTAAGTAACATCAGATCCCATGGTTTCTTAACTGTGGGATCGTCATTTTACATTTTATATTGCTGTTTATATTGCTATTTATTTATTTAATACTACTTCTTTAAATTGTTTTAATATACTACTCCTTTAAATTGCTTGCTTTAATATTATGTGTTCTTGCTATTGCTGGTTAAACTTTTGAGGGTTATTGAACTTTGTTCCCCCCTTTCTTGCCTCTCATTGCGGCTAGTTCCCTCATAGCTTAACGGGACGTTTCTGCCTGTCATTTGACTGGCTTCCTTAACCCTGAGCCGGTAAGTTTTCACCGTGCTCGGGGTTTTTTTCTATTTCCCAACCCTGTCCGACCGTTGCTGAGGCGAGCGCGCGCGCTCCCCTCCCTGCACCCATTCACCTCTTGTCCCGCTGTTTAGATACCCGCATTCGGGTATTTGATGCGAACGCACTCTAGGCATTGCATTCGCACCACGAATCCCCATTACCAGTTTTTTCTCGCGGTCTAATTCCGCGAACGCATTCCTCCATTGATACAGACGTTCGCCTATGCGAACGCTTCTGTCCCTTCCCCGTTCGGGATTTTCTCACTGCTCGCGGCGGCCATTTAGTGCTTTCCCGTGCCCTGCCACTAGCACTGCCCCCCACAGACCGGAACTCTGAGTTGGGAGCTAGTGCTAGTGGCGGTTGGACGGCTTTCTATCTCTACGGTACCTGTATTATTTCTATGAGTGTGAACACTTTATTATATTGTATTGTTTTTTCCTTCATACATTCTGTCAAATATTGTAGATTCCCTCCTACAGGGTTACTCAACCCTCCCCTATAGGTTTTATGCCAACAGGCTGGTTATCATATTTCAGATTCATATATTTCTGGATATAATCCTGTCAGTCACTGTCATAATTATGCCTTCTGACAAGGATGCGCCCTCTGGGTCTATTAACCCTGACAAGGTTGGTTTTCAGGCACCTTCGGGTGTATGTGATGATATGGCGGTTCCACCCGCTGAGCTTGATACCCCTGCTGTTATGCAGACCTTGATTGATGACACCATGTCACAGGCTATGACTAAAGCCCTCATGTCGGCCATGGGACTAATGTCTGATTCCATATCCCAGACACTTACACATGCCCTAATCCAGGCGCAAAAATCAGCGCAACCGACTTCGGCCCAGATTGTGCCTGTCACAACTCCTTTACAACCTCAGACCGGCCGCAAGGCCTTGGCAAAAATGAAACACTCCTCAATGCCACAGATGGACAGCCATGCACCTGTCACAGATGGCGCGTCTATACAACCGCGCAAAAGAGCCACTAGCCGGGCAAAATCGGCTAGATTGTGGAAAAGGGCAAGGGCCCAAGTTGATTCTGAGTCTGATCTCAGCGACATTGAGGAGGAGGCTTCTGTAGATTCGGAAGATCCATCGGATCCCGACTCAGATTGCCCGGCCGGGGACTACGGCCATTCTCAGGACTACAGTCCGCTCCAGTCGGACATGCCTGTTGTAGACCACAAGGCACAAGGGGATGTAGATATGATTGTGGACCAACATGGTGAACCCCTGTTTGATCCCGACCTATTACGCCACCCACGGTCGGCAGAATGGTCCCCCCAAGAACATGTGGCCAAATATATAGCGTCTAGGGTACGCAAGCCTTTAGAAAAGGCGACACGGAATAAACTACGGGCAGAATGCCCGCGCCCCACAGTCCCAGATGATGCCTGCAGCACACCTGCAGTTGACCCAAAGATTACCCAATTCTTGGGAAAGACAGGCTGGAAGCCCAACAAAGGCTTGGAGTTTGCCCTACGCAATTGCCAAGACAAGGTCTTGGACATCCTGGGCCCAGCTACCAAAATATTCGAAGTGGTCCAAGATGACCAGGAGTTGGATCGGGCCGCCATAAATGGATGGATCCAACGGATTATTTGCCTGATTGGCAATGCCAACACGGCAATAGCCACGGAACGCCGCAAGGCGATACTATTGAAAATAGAACCGAAATTGGTTAATATGGCAATGAACGAACCGGGCGCCCAAGCTAAGGGTCTCCTATTCGGAGACAATTTTGTCAAGGAATTGGGCTCCTTTGTCCATACATTTACTGCCCTAGATAAGGCGCAATCCAACATGCGCAAGGTGTTTCACCCCAAGGTTTTTGGTGGGGCCGGAAGAGCAAGGAGCCGTCTGTCCGGCCGTGTTAACATAGAAACATAGAAACATAGAAACATAGACTCGTCAGAAGTTCTTTTAGACAGAACAGAGGCTCCTATACGGGACGAGCCAGTTTCACGGAACACCGCAACGCTCCGGCGTTCTTCCCACAACGAGGGCGGCCATGGGTTGCCCGTGGACCACGGAATGCCCACTCCGGGCGACGACCTTACGGTAAGTCCTCTCAATTTACATTCTTCCCTATGGGCAGTGGGGGGCAGACTCCGACATTTTTCCCACATGTGGGCTCGCATATCGTCAGATTCTTGGGTGCTAAACACCATAAAAGGATATACAATAGATTTCCTGTCCCTACCCGTGCAATTCTCCCAACCACGAGAAATGTCTTTTTCCCTAGCAGACAAGACCCTGGTCACCCAAGAAGTTTCAGACTTACACCACAAAAAGGCCATTTCAGAAATCCCAATGGCCACGGCAGGTTATGTCAGCAACCTGTTCCTGGTTGCCAAGAAAGGCGGAGGGGTCCGCCCAGTGATCAATCTGAAACAACTCAACACTTACGTCTCTTACAACCATTTCAAAATGGAAGGAATACATTGTCTAAGAGATCTCCTCCAACCAGCGGATTGGATGGTGAAACTGGATCTCAAAGACGCTTATCTTACAGTGCCGATCGCCCGTCACCATCAGGATTTCCTGCAATTCATCTGGCAGGGCAAGAAGTGGAGGTTCACCTGTCTCCCTTTTGGGCTGTCATCGGCCCCGTGGTGCTTCACCAAACTCATGAAGCCCGTGACGGCCTTTCTTCGGAGCCGAGGAGTGCGTCTTATAATCTATCTGGACAACATCCTCATTATGGGCCAATCCGCCCAAATTGCACGGACCCATTTGAACTGGACTCAGACCCTATTACAGAACTTAGGCTTCCTCATCAATTGGGACAAATCCATCTTGACTCCCACTCGCACATAGAGTTCTTGGGTCTCATCGTAGACTCCACGTCTCAGACCCTACATCTACCGATGTCGAAACTGAACAATATCAAAAAGGAAATCAAACGCTCCCTGGCAGCTCCTCAGCTGTCCCTCAAACAGTTGGCAAGGGTGATTGGCCTCCTGGCGGCCTCCATACAAGCCATCTTCCCGGGGCCGCTCCACTACCGGGCGTTACAACGCCTTCACGCTGCCAACCTGAGAGACGGAGTCGCCTACACGGATCTGATCACTCTGAACTCGGAAGCGAAGGACGAACTGACATGGTGGCTCTACCATATGGAAGCCTGGAATGGTCGGGCCATTTTTGGCACCGCACCAGATCTGGTAATAGAATCAGACGCGAGTTTACACGGCTGGGGTGCTCGCTGTGGAGACGTCTCTACAGGTGGCAGGTGGTCCAACAGCGAAGCTACACTCCACATCAATTGCCTGGAACTCCTGGCAGGATCCTTTGCGATCCGCAGCTTTTCACCGACCCTGGTACAATGCTCTATCCTTCTGAAGATGGACAATATATCGGCAGTCCGATATATCAACCATCTGGGGGGCACGAAGTCAAAGGTCCTGGCGAACATGGCACGAGATTTTTGGCAGTTTTGCCTGACTCAAGGCATTTCTGTGACAGCGGAGTATATTCCCGGGCTCTGCAACACCACGGCAGATTGGTATTCACGACACCTCCGGGACGCCAGCGATTGGCAATTGGACCCCAGGGTATTCCGAACTATTCAATCAATATGGGGCCCCATGGACAAAGACCTGTTTGCCTCCCGCTTGAATGTGCAACTTCCCCGATTTTTTCAGCTGGAGGCCGGACCCAGCAGCGCTAGCGACAGATGCGTTCACGCAGGATTGGTCGTCCACAAGGAATTATGCCTTTCCACCGTTCGCACTGATTCCTCGCTGCCTCCTACAGTTACGACGACAGTCGGGAACCCTGGTGCTTGTCGCACCGTTATGGCCCTCCCAACCTTGGTTTCCTCCCCTCCTGGAGATGACGGTGGACGTTCCTCAAATTCTCCCACACTCCATTTATTTACTTCAGGACCCAGATGGGGCCCCTCACCCCCTGGTGCAGCAGGATCTGCTACGGCTAACAGCGTGGCTAATTTCAGGGGACCTTGGGCAATCGAGGGAGTTTCGGAATCGACTGTCCGCCTTCTCGAGAACGCATGGGCGCCTGGCACAAGACAGGCTTATAAGTCTTCATGGGGCAAATGGCGTGATTGGTGCCTGGAATGAGACTTGGATCCCATATCAGCTCCTGTGAGTGATATCCTCCACTTCCTCACGTCCCTGTTTGAGGATGGCAAGGCCTATCGTACAGTGAACCTATACCGCTCGGCCATTTCAGCGGCACACCAGGGGACTGCGGATGTCCCGATTGGACGCCACCCGTTGATATGTAAACTCCTACGTGGCATTAAATTCACCCGACCCCCGCTCCCACGATATTCGATGCTATGGGACGTCTCCATCGTCCTCAAATTCATTGAATCATGGCCGGACACTACACAACTGTCCCTGAAACAATTGTCGGCCAAGCTGGCTATACTCCTCTGCCTCATATCTTGCAAAAGGGTATCCGATGTCAGAGCTCTGGACATTACCGCACGCTCCTACACCCCAGAGGGGGTCACCTTCGATATCTCTCGCAGAACGAAGACGTCCTCGAAGTCGGTGTCATACCCAGCGTTCCCCGACAGACCGCTCTTATGCCCAGTCAAGTGCTTACAATCCTATGAGCCTCCACACTTCGAGACATGACAAAACACGAGCTTTTCATATCATTCCAGAAACCTCACCTACCGGTGTCTACTCCGACCCTGACCGATGGGTTAAATGGATGATGTCCATAGCAGGCATCGACACTTCGCTATTCTTACCTCACTCAGTGCGAGGAGCGATGGCTTCCAGAGCCTCCATGATTGGTTGTCGACTGGAAGACATTTTGAAGGCAGCTGACTGGTCCTCAGAATCGACTTTCAGGGACTTTTACTTTAAACCCATTCAGCACTTCGCGGGATCTATAATTTCCCAGCTTTAAACCAGCATAATAGGCGCCTCCGTGTCTTAATAAAATTCACAGATTTTACTATTAGCATGACGTAAAGTCATGATTTTATTAACGACACGGAGGCGAGTATTATCCCTTCCTCCCATCCCGTGGAAGGATGGAATATGGGCAAGTTGATTTCAAGGTAAGTCCTAGTAGTTTGAGATTGATACACGTTAGGCTTGCCAATACTCCACTTAACTGCTCAGACTTCTTAAAAAATGTTGTGACATTAGACATATTATGAGTTATGTGGACATCCAGTTTAATACAAAGATATTACCATATTTCTCCTTGTCTTACAGCTTAACCTTCTTCAGGTCATTGGAAGTTCCCTTGTTACACGGTTCTCTTGTCTGGACTGGATGATTACACTACTTCGGGATCGCAAATCAAGAGGAATTGGATTGGTTCACAGAGCCTATTATGCTGGAGAGTGGAATCCGATTGGCTGTTCCTGTTGCTAGGATACTCCTCTCAGACTGTTTATTGTTAACTTTGATTACGTTCTAAAAAAATTTTTCTTTGCTGCTGAGGGAAAATAAAGAAAGAGTGCAGCATAATACTCGCCTCCGTGTCGTTAATAAAATCATGACTTTACGTCATGCTAATAGTAAAATCTGTGAATTATATTTGTAAGATCCTTCATGGAACGACATTTTGTACTATAGTGCATGTGTGAAAGTACACAGATGAAGAGCTTGAAGAGATGCCAGCTTGAGGGCAAACCATGCAAAGACACCACAAGTACCAGCGCTGCTTAACCCCTTGAGGACCAAACTTCTGGAATAAAAGGGAATCATGACATGTCACACATATCATGTGTCCTTAAGGGGTTAAAGCACTGTTTCGTAAATTTAGTAGTTAAAATAATTGACTCCAGGGATGTTATATTGTCACCATAACCAATTCAAGCTGAAAAGTTAATGAAGAGTGTCCCTTTAAACATGTAGTTTAGGTCTTATTGAATGTTCAGAAAAAGAGAAAATTGTCGTAAAAAAAATACTGTTTAGGCTTTTTATGTAAACCATATTGTGTTCTGAACGGGTTAAACATATGTCTGACATTCATATAATCTTCTAGACCAGAAATCTCTCTCTTTTTTTTTTTTAACCAATTCTATATTTTGTGATACACAACAATATTCTCAAAATTAGCAGTGTTTATACGCACCAAAACAACTTTAGATTAATAAAGCAGTTTTGGTGTATAGATCATGCCTCTGTAGTCTCACTGCTCAATTCTCTGCCATTTAGCAGTTAAATCACTTTGTTTATACAGCTCTAGTCACACCTCCCTGCATGTGATTTGCACAGCCTTTCTAAACACTTCCTGACAAGGAACCTAGATATTCTATATTCCTTTACTGAACAGTCTGTTTAATCTGGAATTCCTTATTTCCTGCTCTGGTAATATTAAACTTTAAAATTTTAAAGTTACATTTTCAGAGCAGGAAATAAAAACTTCCAAAGCAAGTTAACATCTGATTGAAAATTATTTTTTTAAATGCAGGCAGTGAGACAGCAGCGGCATGACAGCCAGGGGAGGTGTGGCTAGGGCTGCATAAAAAGAAAAAAAGTGATTTAAGTTGTTTTGATGCCCAAAGTATCCCTTTAATGTCAGAAGTTATCAAGCCACTTTACACCATGTGACTTAATAAAGCAGATAGTAATTGGAGTATGATTGGAAGTAATGTACTTTGCAGCAATCTCAAAACAAGCAAAACTAGCAGAATGAGGATGTATTCAATGTAGTCCACAACATGTGTATCAGTTCTCCATGCTTCCCCCAGCTAACCTCGATCTCCCACGTCGTGTCTCCCTCCGTTCAGAGATGCCAACCCGACATGAGCCTCGGGCAGGGACTCAGCCAGACCACTTCGACGCCGTGAATTAATAGCGAACCTACTTCCCTGGTTCAGAGCTGGTGTTGCAATTTCCTTGTGCCCCACAAACTGGCCAGGAAGGGCTTCCCCAGTTCAGCGTTGTGGGTGGGGTCTCTAAAAGATTCAGCCTTCCTAGTCAGGCGTGTGCCAGGAAGGCACTCTCTTAAAGGGGCACTGTCTACTAGACAGCCACTAGAGGGCACTTCCTGGTCCATAGCACAGAAAACTATGCTAGAGCGTAGATGGATATCATTATGCTGTGTGAGGACCTCCAGCGTCGCTCAATTCCCCATAGGAAAGCATTGAAAAGCATTTTCATTGCTTTCCTATGGAGAGCTCTAATGCGCATGTGCGGCATTGCCACGCATGCGCATTAGGTCTCCGCGGCCGGCGGGTTCAGTCTCGCCCACCGGCCGACGTAATGAAGAGGAGGAGCGGCAGTGACCTGAAACCACCGCTTCAGCAACCAGGGATTGGGAGGTGGGAGGTAGAGGGGACCTGCAGTGCCAGGAAAACGGATTGTTTTCCTGGCACTGGAGAGTCCCTTTAAAGGGTCAGAGGTTGGTACAAGAAGGGAGATGTGTCAGGAGCCAAGGGATAACGTGGAGGGGTGTGTCTCTTCTCACAAGTATTACAGCCTTTCTCCTAAACCTCTTTGCTTAGTTGTTATGTGCTTACTGTGGTGCTCACTGTAGTGTGCTTATCCTGCATCATCTCTGGTGCCCGTCCTGACGTTTGCCAATTCTGACTGTGTTTCTGCTCATTCCCTATTTGTACTTCGTTTGGTGAATAATTTTAAGCCACCTTCTGCATTGAGGGCATCTTCCACTAAAACCTTCTAGTGTGCTGAAGGTTGACTACCCCTGCGAGGAGTGTGTGAGGATGTGGGTATATGTGCCTCAAATGGCATTAATCTTTTGGGTGCTCAAGGTGTGCCCAACACCTGACACATCCGACACCCAAAAAGTAAGTCTATCTTAACTCTTTATTCATTGGTTGTAAATATTAGTGCATACCTTCCAGGTGTCCTTGTTTAGGAGGGACAGTCCCTATTTTGGGACCAAAACCCTCTGTGCCTCTTTTCTATCCTAATGTCTATTCATAGGAGTTCCATATTGTTTGTGTTTTTTAGTGTAACAGCAATAAATGTCTCAGTAATGTGTATTTAAACTACAATAAACTTATTTTGAAATAAATCTTTGTAAATTAGATACATTCCTTAAATATCATTTTAGCTGCATATTAGTAAGTCACCTAAAATTTCTCAAAACAGCCGCCCCACCACTGGCCAAACTCACCCCTAAAATGAAAGTGTCTCTCTACTCTGTTCATTTGAAATGTTTGTAGATGTGATAGGGGAATTTGAAAAGCGTTGGCTGGGTACCATGGGAAATGTAGTTCACAAAGAACAGCAGTGCCAAGGTTAGCCAACACGGCTTTAGGACATGAAGACAAGTCCCCAGCTGCACTCAGTGCAATTCCTATAATTACTCTTTCGCCTTCAGGATTCCCCCGGGAATATTTCTTGCTAACAACTGATTGAGGCTTTGACATAGAAATTTTAATACTGTGGCCGTGTCATTTTCATTAACCGAGGAAAATAAAGTCACATGGATAGGTAAATTTATTGGTTTCTGAAAATAATTTAATAGCATAAGACATAAGAGGTTTAGGTGAAGTAATGTTTATTCTGCATGATGTAAATGATTTCATAAAATACAAGATTCAATAAAATGCGTATTCAGGAAATGAAAGGTTTACATAGCTCACTTGAGAATTTTTCCACCTTACCTGTTTTAGCGAATATCTCTTTTGTTGTTTTAGTATATACATGATGACAACTATAATAATTGCGTTGAGTGATTTAATGTTTGTAACTTTAATCAAGCTGTATAACCTTTAACTATACTTAAAGGGGCACTACAGTGCCAGGAACACAAATGTGTATACCAGACACTGTAGTTCTAAAACCACCCCTTTGGGTATCGTCTCCCCTTACCTGAGGTTAGAAAGGTTATTCACTCACCTTTTTCCAGTGCCGCGCCAGACTGTTCGCGTCTGTTTCCGCCCCTGATCCACCTCCTTGGCTGACATCATCAGAAATAATTATCTCAGCCAATCACAATGCTTTCCCATAGGAAAGCACTGGACTGACTGAGATGGTCAATTCTGATGATCTCAGCTAAGGTGGCGGGGCAGGGAGCCAAAGGCTACCCTGGCCAATCGGCATCTCCTCATAGAGAATCAATCATTGAATCAATGCATCTCTGTGGGGAAAGTTCAGCGTGTCCATGCAGAAAAGGCAGTGTTTCCATTAAATAGCCTGCAGGGACGGACTATACTCACCAGAACAACTATAATAAGCTGTAGTTGTTCTGGTGACTATAGTGTGCCTTTAATTTCTTATCCATATATTCAGCAGACGTTGGTTTATTTCAATTTATTTAATTTGAACCCCTTTTTTATGTCTGGGTAGTATTTTAAATAAAACATAAGCCAGTGCTGAATTTCATCAGAATAAATGCTTTTTAAAAGGATATGTTTATAATAAAACATATTAAATGCCACTAAGATTTTTTTTTGTTTAATTCTAAACAATATTCTATACTGATGTTATTTTCATCTAACCAATCTTAAGAAAATTTAGTTCTAATTACTTAACACGTCACCTGACAGTTTTGGAAATGGAGGTGGCCATTTTGGAACTTCATCCAATAGGTCTTCTACTTTCTATGCCAAAATAGACAAATTGGGAGAAATAATCTTTTGAAAAGCAGGGTTATTCTCTAAGTTTTTGGTAATTTACCAGAGAATTAGAAATTGCTATGTTGGCCAATTTGTCATCTGCTGTAATATGGTGTACAGTTGTTCCATATTACCACTTCTCTTACTATTTACCAAATTATGTTACATTGGATTAATGTTCATGTCCCAGAACAAAATGTTGGTAATAAGTTTTTTCCTTCAGTATCACGCCATTATTTTCTGAGCTCAGCCGGACAGCGCAAGGTTTAGCTAATTGGTTGAGAGCAATCAGTTGATGCTCTCAGCTAATGATCTAGCCCTGCACTGAAAGGCCTAACTCAGGAAAGCTAGCAGAAGCTCCTAGCAGGAGCATGAGCGCCTGTCACCACAACCACTACATTATGCTAAAGTAGTTATGGTGTTTGGAGTGTTCCCTTAACCCAGGGAGCCTGATCAGAGCTCCATATATATGGAAGGATGAATGCTTGGATGGATATGCTATTATGGCCTACAATTTTGCTACTCCATGGTGAAATTCAGTTTCTAAGACAGGGTGCCTAGACAGTGTAATCAAAGATTTTATTTTGCCATTTTGACTTCCCTTCGAGATGACAGCATAAGAAGAGTCAATGTATTTTCCTGTTAAACAGAAAGCGTGAACTTTAAGCAGCGTAATATGTATTAGCACGCACCAGGGCTTTTAAGTAATTGGTTTGGTAATGAAGCATACTGGAAGCAATGCATTGCTGCCTACTTTATAAACCCAGCTTGAATCCCACATTGAAAATCCCATGGGGTCCACTGGAAACACTTAAGCCCAGGCAATTGACCTTTAATCTGCGAGAACGCTTTCTTCATCACAATTGTAGCCCATAGTTAGACGTGTCACAACTTCCACATGTATTTAGATAATTTGAAAACACGTACCACACAATGCGCATGTTGAATAATGTATAAATCTTAGGAGGCATAAAAAGGCTTTTTGTTAGCCAGCGAGGTGGTGTATGGATTCGCTATACTCATTAATAATTAGAAATACACAAAAACAAACTGCACTATGCATGTCCTGCTTTCACACTAAATAAAATGCAGCAGTGTCCTTACGTTTGGTTACAAAGAAAAATATACGGTACATTTCTTTTATCAATAACCTTGCCTGTAATTACATAGACACATTTTAAAGCTACTTAGTATAATTACCACACTGTAGAATATTTACACATGCATACAGTGCATAGGACAAAAGATCTTTTAAAGGGACTCAGAGAAATTAAACTCCATTTGTAATAAAAAACAGAACCTCTAAGCCACTTCTTATCATGAAATTATATATATAAACAAACGCTGGAGATTCTGAAAGAATGAAAGATTGTTCAACAGGGATTTATATAGGAAATGTGGCAGAATTGTTATTCTTGAAAGAAATGAATGAACGTGCTGCAAAAGATAAAAAGGCAGCTTTTGGCTAGCTGTATTAATGTTTTTTCATAAATGGATTAATGTGTTCGTGTCTATGAAGAAGACGATCAGAATACATGCTTTTTAAAGGGATATTTTTTTAAAGGTCAAATGGGTTTGGAAGGACAGAGCAGTAAAGATAGAGAAGGTAAAAGAAAATGCATTTTAGAATATCTTTTTATCATTACACACGTTAACAGTTCGGCTAGTACAGTGTGACAGTATAATTCATAGTATATAAAATAGCAAACACACCTTACAGTTTCTGCAGAGGTGGCAGGACTGGCGATCCCACCAAACCAGAGGTGAAAATGTCAAGCGGTAGCAGTTTGGTTGGGCCAGGCCTGTGAAATATGTGACCAGGCTTAATTTTTTCCCCATACTGGCCTTGGTAGCAAAATTTCATCCATGTAATGTGCTGTAATGACACAGATGATACAAAATATTGCTTTTTACTAAGTTATTTAGTAAATTTGTCCCTCTTAAAAGATTAGGAGATATGTACTGTAGATTTTCTTTATTTTATCATTAGAGTTTTATTGAATTTCCCGTCAAGGTGGGATACAGAAAAGACAAAGGGAAGGGAAGGAAGGGCAACATCAATAAGGCATCACAAAATATGTCAACATAAATCCTATATGGTGCATCAAACAAGCAGTCTAGCATGAATTATCGAAAATGTCAACCAGTGATATACATGAAATACATACATAGCATATGCAAGGAAATTAAGATCCAATGACATCTTTTCAGACTGCTAGGTGAATAACAAAAGGAACGCAGTATAAGTTAACGCGGATAAAGAATTCAAGACATCACAAATCTGCAGTATCATTTGTACTATAGATTATTTTTGTAATTAACATTTAATTGAGGTTTTATGTCAATACACAAAAGACAACAAATCAGAAATCCAAATAAGCAAAGACGAGGCAGAAAAGAAAAAGGTCTAACAATTAAAGAAATTATGGACAGAACCAAATCCCTCCTCACAGAGAATTGTAACACAGATCTAGAGATTAAAAGATAAATACTCAGAAAAAGATGTAGAAGAAGGAAAAGAGAGTGCTCAGGTGAGAGACCCCATTAGACGATAAGTAGGCAGGTTCTTCAACACAAGGGCTACACCACCAACTGGTTCAGAGGTAGGACCTGAGGGGCAAAACCGTCCAATGAAGGGCTCCATATTTTATGAAAATTATCGGTAATCTCCTGAACATGGAAAAATAATTGTCTCTTAAATTCTGTAATAGGTTTCAGTTCTGCATGGCCCCTCTCCCTTTCTTGGTAGCTGTTTGGAGAAGCTTATTTGAGAACATCTAGGCATGTAAAAATTGGGGCCGGTTTGAAATCTGCCCTGTTTCAGCTTGTTTTGCACATGCCTGGTGTCCTTTAAAAAGGAATTTCAGGAATTTGCATTGAGTTGCTATTGGGCCAGTAGAACCAGCTGCGCATGAGTGGAGGCATGCTATTGTCCTCACTATTCAGGGGCCATCATTGGCTGATAGCACCAGGGGTTGCAGTTACAGTGCCCACAGGAGAGAGATGCAAGAAGCCATCTTTGAAGCAACACAGATAGTGTTACTCTCCCCCTGCAGTCTGGGGCTGTGACTTTGAGGACTGATCTTATTCTGATTTCAATCTGTTTTAATCTGTAATGATTGTTGATCTACCATGCCAGCTACTTCCATTGTAGGTTGATTATATTGATGGTTGCAAATGTAATGGGTCTGTCAGTATCCTGCTGCTTTAACCCTGAGTACACTGTGTGCTGAGAGCTTATAGTGAGTCAGGAGTATCTCACATGGTTGGAATATGTTAGTATATCCATGCTTTAAAGGAACACTGTAGGCACCCAGACCACTTCAGGTAATTGAAGTGGTCTGTGAGCTGTGACCCTTTTGCACTTAGTGCCCTCTGTGGCTGCCTACCAGACAGGCACTAGAGGGCTTCCGGAATCCAAATGGACGTTTGGTCCGTTATCTGATGCTGGATATCTTCACGGACCTCCAGCGTCAGAATTTCCACATAGGCAAGCATTGAATAATGCTTTCCTATGGGGAGGTCTAATGCAATCGTGGCCAATGCCGCGCATGCGCATTAGGTCTCACAGCCGGCTTATGTCGGCGGGGGAGGAGCATGGGCGGAGCCTGACCCAGCGCCGATGTCAGGTAAGTGGCTGAAGGGGTTTTAACCCCTTCAGCACCGCAGGAGTTGGGCCCCTAGGGAGGGGGGCACTCCAAGAGCCTATAGTGCCAGGAAAATGGGCTTGTTTTCCTGGCACTGTAGGATCCCTTTAACCATGTGCACACTGAGTGCTGAGAGCTATTGGAGTAGCTGACATGTTATCATAGCTTGAGCATTACTGAAGATCATGAAAGGGAGAACTAAGAGAAAGCTAGGAAGACAGACAGATAGAGCGAGAGAGCTGGATCATTACACAGAGCCATGTACTGTGTGGGGATCTCTGTATTACAGCTCTGTGTAATCCATCACAGTGATCCTGGCTGTGTAGGATCGTTATGAGTATCTCCTTATTGTGCCCGCTCTGTGTTAATACTCTGTATTTTACTCAACTCTACCTGTTGTATGGGTATTTCTGTAGTATACCCAGCTGTGTGCACTGTATTGGTATCTTTGTATTATGCCCAACTCCTTTTATTATATATATTTTTTTTCTCAGCTGTGTTTGTGGTATGGCTATCTCTGTATTGTACTCAGATCTGTGTATTTTATAGATATATTTATGTTGTGCCAAGCTTGTTTTATTGTATGAGCATCTCTGTATTATGCTCAGCTCTCTGTATTGTATGAGGATCTCTGTATTATGTTCAGCTCTCTGTATTGTATGAGTATCTCTGTATTATGCTCAGCTCTCTCTATTGTATGAGGATCTCTGTATTATGCTCAGCTCTCTGTATTGTATGAGGATCTCTGTATTATGCTCAGCTCTCTGTACTGTATGAGGATATCTGTATTATGCTCAGCTCTCTCTATTGTATGAGGATCTCTGTATTATGTTCAGCTCTCTGTATTGTATGAGGATCTCTGTATTATGTTCAGCTCTCTGTACTGTATGAGGATCTCTGTATTATGCTCAGCTCTCTGTATTGTATGAGGATCTCTGTATTATGCTCAGCTCTCTCTATTGTATGAGGATCTCTGTATTATGCTCAGTTATGGGGAGGAGTCTGGCGCGCCACCATCCTTAAAATTCACAAGCCACCACTAGATTCTGGATCTAGTTAATCACGCCCTAAATGTCTTAGTGGGTAGCACTGAATACCAAAATACTAATTTCACCGGTAGCAGGTCTTTCTCTCAACGATTACACTAAATCCTCCTGCAGATGACTTTATAAATAATGCAAGAGGAACTGTCTCTTAGTGAGGCAGATAATGCAAAATAATTACCACAGATGCTGCTAATTTGATTTATGTGACATTTTCCACTGGAAAGACGTTTTGTGGTTGAGATTAATAATTTAGAATAAGAGGCAATCGTTTTGTGAGAATTGCTGGGAAGATGTGGAGAAATGATATGTTTCTATAAATAGTAAAAATACTAGTGATTTCATCTGACACGGTGTTCGTAAATTTATTGGAGCAATCTGCTTGAGGATAGATTGCTCACATCGAGGCTCCAAACTGTTACAGTCTGTTATTCTTTGCTGGTCTGTTTTTCATTATCTTTGGCGACAGTGAATACGTCCACTAGCTCTTAAACCACATTTATTGCCATGGGGTACTATAAATATACCTGCCGAATGACAGCATGATCGGAAGACACAATTGGTGTGAAGAGGCAAAGGACAATAGAATCTTCATTTTAGTTATAATTAATATGCTGTTCAGTTGAATTAGGAGTGTTAAGCTAAGTGCTTAATTGGATAATATTAGGTCACAAATCTATTAAAGGGAATCTATTGTCCTGGGACATCAGAGGGACTGACAATAAAGAAAGAGAAATACATTTAGAATGGGAATATTCCCTATGTTAAAACAAAACAAAAACTACAATATGTGTACAATGTTTGTACGTGTAGCATTGTGTATGTGTAGTAGTGTATGTGAATACTGTTTGTGTAGCAGTGTATGTATAACAGAGTGTGTCAGCGTATGCATACTGTGTCTGTGTGTAGTAGTGTGTCATTAATAGTATTGTGTATACTAAGTATAGCAGTGTGTTATGCATACTGTCTAGTCTTAGTGTGTATAGTGTGTATGTGTGTAAACTTTGCCTAAGTGTGGGCATAGCAGTGTGCGCAAATTGTGTCCTGTGTTTGTGTCAGTGTGTATATAACTAAATAGAAGAAAGGTCCAGGCACACCAAGGTACAAGCCATGCAAGTTTCTTGAACCCACTCCATCATAACGTTTCGACCTACACGGTCTTTGTTAAGTCTTGACAAAGACCGTGTAGGTCGGAACGTTGTGATGGGGTGGGTTCAATAAAATTGCCTGGTTTGTACCTTGGAGTGCCTGGACCTTTTTTTCTATTTTGTTACTCAGCATTTGGTCTCTGCTACTGAGACTGTCCGAGTTGCACCCAGCTACATACTACTTAAAGGGACAGAGTGCAGTTCCACACCCTACCATAACTACTTCTGAAGTGTGTTTATAACTGTGAATGTGTGTGGCATTGTGTATCATTGTGTGTATGCTGTGTCTGAATGTGAGGTGTTATTGTGTATATATAGCAATGTGAGGATTCTGGCCCCATTTCTTTCCCAGAGTCTAGTTAAAGAAAAATACCGGCCACTGCATTGCTGGTATTTTTTAATACCGGCACCAGCCAAACAGCTTCAAATACCGGTTGTGCTGGTAAAATGCCGGCCAAGTGGCAACACTATTTCTAGCACCAAGACTTCTCCACTGCAGGTTCCAGCTCCTCCTCTGTTGATGTAAGCAACCAAGGTGACGTCACTTGCCACATTGTGGAATCCAATACTTCTCATAGAGAAGTAACAGATTGAAATTAGGCGTGCTCGGCCAAAAGCCACGCTGTGAGCAGCATTTCACTCAGTTCTGGAGGAAGAAATGCCTCTAGTCAATGTCTGGAAAAATTCCAACTCAGTTAAATTGTAACTCAGCCAATGTAAGTATTTCAGAAATATTCTATATGTAATATTCATACTCAGGGGTTAGGGGATGACAGAACCATTTAAAATTTGTATTGTTTTTGAGATAGTGCTTCCTGCCAGCCCACCCGAAAAAGCATGAGATCTTTTATTTTAAACTAGGACCATCCTGATGGTCCATGAGGTATGAACTTCCTGTCCACTGCCAATATTATTTGTATATATGTAGGTATGGAGGGACTGAATGATCAGTAACATGCACAATTCATGGACCAGTATAATTTTGTGTGGTAATTAAAACTGTTTTGTTTATCTCCAAGCTTTTCCTACAATTTCATGAACAATAACATGGTTAGCCTCTTTTGGCATTTAGGGCAATCGTCTGAAGGGTGTGCATTGGTTTTCCTTAGGAGTTTAACGTTGATCTGTCACCAAAAATAGACTTCATCAAATATATTCCAATATAATGCCCCTTGTCTGAGTCATTTTCTATTTTTACAGAGTGCACTGGTTTTCATAAAATACGTAATGAACTAAATACATGATATAATTTATGTTTAGCAGTAAGAAGTTTGAGCAAGGTTCTTATTCAGCTGACAATAAAATTTATTTACAATGAATAAGTAGAATGAATCCCACAGAAGAGCCGACAGCAGATTTGGATAGAGGAGAACAAAATGGTTGTTTACGGATATTGATATCCCGCAGAAAGATAATATATAATATAAAGAATGGAACATGGCAAGTTTGGCAGTATGATCATTAAAGGAACACTTTAGAGTCAGAAATACAAACATGTATTCCTGACCCTATAGTGTTAAAACCGCCCCTGTCTTCCCTTACCCCCCTAAATATGGCAAAGTCTTACCTTTACTACAGTCTGCTGTTGCTGGCTCTGCCACTGATATGTCTGCTTGGCTAACATCATCAGAAGTGGTGTTCTTAGCCAATCACAATGCTTTCACATTGGATTGGCTGAACTTGTCAACGAGGCAGATCAGGGGCAGAGCCAGCACAAGCCAAACACAGCCCTGGCCAATCATCATCTACTCATAGAGATTCACTGAATCAATGCATCTCTATAAATGAAAATTCAGTGTCTTCACTGCAGAGGGTGGAGACACTGAATGTCAGTACTGCACACTGTGCAGCACTGCCCCAGGAAACACCTCTAGTAGCCATCTGAGGAATGGCCAGTGGAGGTATCCCTAGGCTGTAATGTAAACACTGCATTTTCTCTGAAAAAAAAACACTGTTTACTTTAAAAACCCTGAAAGGAATGATTATACCCACCAGAATAAATAAAATAAGCTGTAGTTGGTCTGATGATTATAGTGTGCCATTAAGAGACAGAGAGCATAAAGAACTGAATACCCAAATAAAAAATACTTGACAGACCCACTTTATGGTCTGACTTTGTCATCAATATTCTTGTGGCTGTGGTCACTGATTCAGAAAACAGGGTTTTAGAATATCACCTGAACAGTACTTAACATGGACACCGATTAATTCAGCACATGTCAAGAAGATATTTTGATTGAATTCATTTATACTTTTCCAGTTTCTCTTCTGAATGTATAATTCAGCTTGTTCAATAAACCTCAAGCACTAAATACTTTCTCAGTGTACAGCAGAAATGCCCTACATTCCTTGTTTGTCTTAGATACTGACATCTTAAATTAAGATTTAGACTTATGTATCTCCAATTTATTAGAGAGCCATAAAATACATTTCGTTCACTGATATTTTAATTATGTGAGGAGTAATAAACCAGGTTTGGGGAATTCCTCAGCAGTTAATTACTGGTTTAGCTGAGGGAAAATACTGAAAGGTCTTTGACTACCGACTTGAGTTAATTCAAGCAAATGCATTTCTACTTCATTGGCAAATGATGCCAGGGGCAAAGAGATGAAAATAAAAACAGTTCGGTATTTCTGTCCCTCTCCTCATCGGTGGTTGAATATGTATAATATGTATAGTTATGATTGCATAGATGTGTCTGCAGTTTGGAATCCTCCCTTCAGAATCCTGTGACTTCAGGTTTCATCGTTGGGCATTTGAAGAAAAGTGGCTTCAAGTTTCTCACACATTCACCACACAATAAACATTGGGTATTTCAGTATTGTGTTTAAATTGTTTCTATTTAAAAGTTAGATGACTTGAGCCAATTTGAAATTATCCTTAAAGGGACACTATAGGCACTAGAATCACTACATCTTAATGGAGTGGTTCTGGGGCAAAGAGTCTGTTCCTGGGCAGTGTAAATGCTGCATTTTCTGAAAAAAGGCAGTACAGTATTTGCACTGCTGACTAGCTTCCTGGGTTCGGCTCTGCATAGAGACACTGAACCATACCCATAGAAATCCGTAGAGTAAATGCATCTCTATGAGAAAATGCTGATTGGAGCGGTGCAGTGATTACCGTGCATGTGATCTCCCAACGCTTTTATGTGATTTATGATCTCAGCCAGTGGAGGCATGGTGGCCACACAGAGATTGGCTTTCTAGGGGATGTAAAGTAAATAAATATATTTTTTTATACAATTTCCTTTAATGCTTCCTTGGCACATATATGGTTTTAAGTAGGGCTCTTTAACAATGAGTTGTCAATCAAGAAACGGCCAATCCATATAAAGATTAGTGCTGTACCCTCGGCTGCTGTATCTAGCACTGCTGTGTGACACTCAATTTTCCCTTAGTGCTACCAACAGCACAGCAGCAACTAGGTTTTAGGAGGACTAAAAGAAAGTGCACATGAGCGCCTGTTTAACTGAACTTACAGTGGAATTAGAGTTAAATTCAAATTATTATTTATTTTTTTTATTGGTAAGGGCCTATCTATAAGGGGGTTCAAGTAACAAATTCTGGAAGGGAATGGATGTTGTGCATACTTTCTGTGTATAGGACAGGAAATATTCTAAACAAATCACTGACTGTACGCTCCAACACAATGCAGGAGGCAGGGAATGGACAATGTCTGGGGCAGTGTGGGTCACTTTATTGAAAGCAAAGTTTATTTATAGAGTTGAGATAAAACAGGCTTATTTATTGCAAATAGTGCCCCTCCACTTTCTCGCTGTTAAATTTAGAAAATAGTCGTATGACAAACGGAAAGAGTCTGTTATAGTCATAGGAAAACATCTTAAAAGCTTCTGCATTGTTTTTGTCTACATATTGTAAGAAGAATAAAATGTCAGATCTGCATAATTTTATTTCTGCTAGAGTGGATGTTTTGTACAAGTGAAAGAGTTAATGTTTTAGGGAAATAGTTAATGCTTTTGTAGCGGACCGGCAATATTAAATCCCACGAATTCCGCTGGTACATACAGTAATCCACAGTCAGCGCTGAAAAGCAAGGCAATATCCCAAATCTCCCAGTAACCGGACGAAACACAGTTCTGAGAGTCAACTGAGGTCTTTATTTTCAGCTCCACAATTTATACAATTCCCCATGCAAGGGGTTTCCTGAGTCCCATCCCAGGGGCATTCCCAGAGTGGACTACATGGGGAACTTCCATTACAGAGCCTTTCTCCCATGAGGCACTGCTGCACGAGAGGGATACTTCCACTGGAATATACTGTTAAGTGGATTATCCCTCCGTGCAGCAGAACCGACAATTTATATTAAAATACATAACTTTTCGAATATGCAGTCTATTTGCACGAATGGACGTTCGGTAGATAGCTGGGGTCTGAGCGCATCATTCGTGAGATTACCGCTCAGATCCCAGCTAAAACAACCGAACGCCGCACGAAAAACACATTCATTAAAATACATGTTCAAAAGACCGATTGAAGTCTAGGGAACATAATACCGAACGGCCCGGAACTCCCAGACGGCCTGGAAGCTCAGCGGTGTTCGCGCCGTCGAGTAGCCGTTTTTAGTACCATGCGCTTGACGACCAAACACCGCTGAGGGAACAAAGGATCCAAGATGGCCGACCGCCGCATGGTTGGTAGTCGAACGGCGGCCACCTAGGAGAGCCTCTAATTACCGATTGCAACATTGTTGCAATCGGTTAACAAGCGCCACACGCCTCTAAGTGTGTGGGCTATTACATGGTGGTTTTTCGGTTCACGAACGGCCCGCAAAGGTGCCGTTCGTGAAACGAAATGAAATACAGCTATCTGCATAGCCAATACAGGAAATACAGGGTATTACAACCAGCATACCTTATACATAGTTAAACACATATCCCACAACCATACAGGCAACCCTTAAAGGCACAGTCTCTTTATAGTGTCCAAGTGGCTAGGTTTGCCACAGCTTTGTATAGGTGAAATAGTGAATATGTAAGGTATCCATGCATACACCAACTTTGCTTTGGACCAACCTTGCTTCTGTCTTCCATTGGTGGCTTTGCTGCACCAACCACTACTTTCTTCTCCACCAAAGATCAAAAGCAATCCTTAGTTTTACCCGAGTGCCAAACTTGGTGGAGGATGAGGAAAAAGATATGGCTCTCTTTCACTTACTCTCGTAAATAATAGGGATAAACTGATTATCGGTTCTGCCCACTATTAGAGATATTATAGCATTTTACCGATAATCAGTATTGGCCTTTTAATTTTCAAATAATACCGATAACTTACCTCTCCCAGTCATCACACACGGTCTTCTGCAACTCTAGCAGCCAGCCAATAAAGCGCCACGTCATGACCTCATGTTACCCCTTTTTGAAAATCACAGCATGCAGAGCTCAGCTGAAGGCAGGGCGGTAAGACAGTGAATAATCTACTATAATGAACAGGGCTGGTTGACAGAGTGATAGGAGTATGTTTGCTGTCAGTAATCACACTCCTATCAGTAACAGCACTATACATGCTGGGATCTCACTGATCCAAGCATGTATTGGCTGGCTTAGAGTTACAGGAGTGTGATTACTTTCCGCATGTTCAGGTAAAGCCAGATTTCTGTAGAAATTGTGCTACTTTTTCAAAACGTTAATTTAACTTTAGTCGATCCCTAGTAAATATCGCTATCTTTCCAAACGGAAGGTTGGCTGACATGTTCCATCTTATTTCATTTCATCATTAACCCTAGTGTGTATATGCCATACACATACTTTACCAAACTGTTGTGATTATGGTGCTTGAAGTGTTTCTTTAATTATTGTCAACTATCATATTTAAAAATAAATTATACGCTTGATTCTCTCCTCAGACTGAGTCCACCAAAAATGCTTTAAAGGAACACTATAGCGTTAGGAATACAAACCTGTATGTCCCTAAGTTTATCTGTCTCCCTGTTCAACATGAAAATAGTTAACAAATAGTTAACAAAAGTTATTTTGCTTACCTTTTTTTGGCTAGGTGTCCCACAGCATCATGGCGGTGGTGGGATCGAATGCGCATGCATGGTGGGCACCACGTGCAGCTGGTGCCCGCCATAGGAAAGCATTGGATCAGTGCTTCCCTATGAGGAACATATAAGATGTTAGACGTCTTCATGCAAAGATAGCGGAGTAAACTCCACTAGGAACCCAGAAGTGCTTCTAATGGGAGTCTGGAAACAGCCACTAGAGGCGGAGTTAACCTTACAATGTAATCACTGCAGTTTCTCAATGTACATTTAAGGGTTAAACAGGCAAAGGCACTTCACTCAGACCACCCATGATGTAAAGTGGTGAAAAAAATCTTAATTCACTTGCCTGATTCCAGCACCAATGTCCCTCAGCCCTGGGTCGGGCTAATCCTCTGCCAACATCAGCATGCGTGCATTAGCCCTTTCCCATAGGAAAACATTACACCAGTGCTTTCCCATGGGGTTTTTGGAAAAGGCTGGATGTCCTCATACAAAGCGTTAGGTTATCCAACGTCATTTCATAGAGTCAAACTTCGGTAAAGGCCAGAAAGCGGCTCTAGAGTCTCTTAAACCTGCAATGTAAACATTACAGTTTCTCTGAAACTGCAATTTTTGCAGCTGCGGGGCTAAGGGGACAGGGACACTTCAATGAGATGGATGCCTATAGGGTCCCTTTAATGTTTGCAAGGAATGTTCAGTGTGTACATGACACAGATTTCAGCATTCAAATAATCTAGAATAAACTAGGCATTGTTCCTATATGATGTTATTGCATGTGCTTTTTTTGAGCCAAGGAAATGTGTTATATAACAATAGACATTTCACCGTTTCCATTTAACGCTGTAAAATAATTAGCTTTTGTCATAAATCATATAGTGACAAAATTCACACAGTTAGTGTGAGAACTCCCTATACACAGCAGTGTATATCTTGATTTACTATGCAAGGGCAATACAGGTTTAAGACCTGTTAGCAATTAACAGTCTCCTGTGTGTACTTGTGTGCAATGTGCAGATTAAATGGACACGATAAGTACCATAACTACAACAACTTTATGTAATGGTTCTAGATCTAGGAGGCTTTGGGTACAGCCCCTCTGGTTTTTGTCAAAGCACTCGGACTTATTTGGAATGCCAACAAAAAGACTGGATGCTCTTATCAGAAAATGAAATGTTTTGTAACAGGAAACAGGTACAAACTGTAAAAATACATAGAACGCAGGGATTTATTCCCTAAACAAGGAATTGTGAAGAATTAATAGGGAAATTGCTAATTTTGCTGAATAAAGTGGAATTAAAGAATTTCACAGCTAACCTTTTTGGTTCTACAATGCATGGTTCACTTTTCATTTGTACAAGATTCACAAGTTCTGTCTGCTTCTGTCATTCTGTTTCTAAAAATGGTATTTAAAATATAACAAGGTGCTTCTGCTTTAATAAGCATGTTAGCGACTATCCCATTAAGAGTGAATTGTCACATGATATTGAAACGTGGTTAATCTAAATAGGCCAGTTCTGGTTAGATGGTGGAATTTGTGTGGGGCTGGGTAGACCATGGACAAAACGTCTTTTCTGACGGTCCAGCATTCATGTGTAAATCCCATAATATCTGTGGGAGGCACTGACTGAGCCATCTCATGTATGCTAATTTTATTTCTTGTAAATCTTTTATTATTGAATGCATTTCTTTCAAACTCGTTCCACTTCTTATGTGTGTCACTGTTAGCATTAGTACAGAGTTGCACATGGGTCATTTACCACACTGGAAATTGAGGAGAATTGACCAGGGATATATCCAGAATTCTCAGATATCTCCAGAATCTCAAGAAATCTTTGCTAAGATGTGAGGTGGAAGCTATTGGTTTCTGTGTTCCTTGGAGCTTATTCACTGAATATGTTAAACAAAGCATAATAAAATAAAAACACAGTCAGCCAGACAAACAGACGTACAGCCGGGTAGGCAGCCATACTAACAAATGTCTGTCCTTTTCCTCCAATCAGCAGCCTCTATCTCCCAGAAGCTCAGCTCACATTGTTATCCATCTCCATGCATACAGAGTGGTGGAGGCAAGTCCAGGGACACAGACAGTGAAATGAATGCGTGGCTAAGGAAACAGTTAATGCTGCAGACATTTAAAAAACAAAAAAACAAAACTAAATACAACTGAGCAATGGCAAAAATACAGTGCACATATGGGGCCAATGAGCATAAGTTGTGTTGGTGGCAATAATGTCCCTTTAGCTTAAATCCTGCCTCCGAACACTGTCCATTTAAATGCCAGGGTTCATTTGTGACATATTGGGATCATTTGTCCATTATTTTATTTATTAATATTGTTTTTGTTTCTTTTTGTCAGCCTTGCGCTCCATCCAGAAAGAACGCTGGTTGCCACAGGACAGGTGGGAAAAGATCCTTATATCTGCATATGGGATTCATACACCGTGCAAACCGTGTCCATTCTGAAAGATGTGCACACACATGGAGTAGCTGGCTTGGCGTTTGATTCCGATGGACAGGTTTGTATCATTAAACATATTGGACAGTATCACTATATAAAATGGGAGATCCTTTACAGTTGAATAAATCCACTGCCTTAAAAAAAATTGTAATACAGTGTAAACAATGTATGTACAAATCATTATTTTTATTGTATGTTGCATCACAGTGCAAACTGACATATATTACAATGGAACACTCATTACAGCCACTCCCAACGCCTGCACAGCTATATACATTATTGGGAATACATGTAGAATTCCCAATAATGTATATGCTCTGAGTGAGTAAATGAAAAATGATGTTACATAGCGTAATTTCAAGAAACAAAGCCTTTCCCACTTTGCTGGCCTAGAGGACTTGGATCTTTAGAAGTACTGCTAAATGTACGATTATGTTCCTTAATTGATTATAACAAATTCATCTCTAGAGCATCTTTTATAATATAGATTATTTTTGCTTCCTGCAGTTGAGGAGCATTGCTCAATGGCCTCACATTCAAGCATCCACTTTAGCTCACTTGTCATTAAACTATGTCTTATCATATATAAGTATCAATTTATTTTAATTATTATTTACTTTATACCATATATAATACCAACTTCAACTTTTGATTGGAAGGAACTGACCCGTATTTTCACTTAGAATACTGATATGGGGAATCACTTAAATCTGTGGATTGGTTAGAAATCTTCGGGGAATATGCTGTTAAATCATCTATATAAACAGGGCCGGACTGGGGATACAAAGCAGCCCTGGAAAAAAAAAATTGTGCCAGCCCCATAAGTCACTGCGCCATATATTGTCGCGTGTAATATGTAAGGCTATGTCTTGACAGGACAGATGATTGAGTAATATATATATATATATATATATATATATATATATATATTGCTTTTTCTAATATAAAATATTGGTCCTTTCAGGGTAAAGCGTTTAATTATACAGTAAGCATACGCACATGCAGACACAGGCAATTTCACTGACATTTCAGTGACACACACAAGCTCATTGATACACAGCCTCATAGACAAACAATCTTACTGATATACATCAGCTCATTGACATAAAAACACAAGCTCACTCACTAGCAGGCACACGCATGCAAGCAAGCTCACTCACTAGCAGACGCACACACACAGCTTAATGTGGTGGTACTGGTGTCTATAGCATGTCCCTACAGGCTTTTCAACGTAAACACTGACTTTTCAGACAAAAGGCAGTGTTTACATTGCTTCAAAGTGACACTGCTAGTGACAGTCACTCAGACGGTCACTAGAGGTGCTTCCTGTGTTAGTGCACCTACATTCAGGGCCTCCACACTCTGTAGGTGCTGAACGTTCCCCATACAGATACATTGATTCAATGCATCTCTATGAGGAGATGCTAATTGGAGTGGCGTTTTGCAGCCAATCCTATGGCAAAGCATTGGATTGGCTGAGATCATCAAGCTTGATGATCTCAGCTATAGAGGCAGGGCCAGTCGAGGGGAGACCAGCACGCTGCGTGGGGAAAAAAAAAAGGTGAGCAAAAACACTATTTTTAAACACACATTTACACCATGACAGACACAGAAACACACATATACCATGACAGATACACACCCCATTACAGACACACACACACCATGACAGACCATGACACAGACAGACACACACCATGACACAGACAGACACACACCACGACGGACAGATAGACACACACACACCATGACGGACAGACACACACACACACCATGAATGACAGACAGACACACACACACCCCATGACAGACAGACAGACACACAAACACACACACCCCATGACAGACAGACAGACACACACACCCCATGATGGACAGACAGACACACACACCCCATGAATGACAGACACACACACACCCACCCAATGACGGACAGACAAACACACACACACACACACACACCATACAGACAGACACCATGACACAGACAGACACCATGACACAGACAGACACACACACACCATACATACAGACACCATGACACAGACAGACAGACACATTACTTATACCTGCCAGGGGGAGGTCTTCTGGGGGCCGCTGGGGGACTTTTACCGCTGGGAAGGTCTTCTGGGGGCATCTGGGGGACATGTCCTGTCGGCCGCTGGGGAGGTCTTTTGGCGGCCGCTGGCGGACTTGTCCTGGCGGCCGCTGGGGGAGCTGCGTCGTCTTACTTACTTCCCTCCTTGGTCGTCTTACTACCCCACCTGTTCTTCTTACCCCCCTTCTTCTTCTTAACCCTCCTACTTCTTCTTACCCCCCTTCTTCTTCCTCCCCCTTACTCTTCTTACTCCCCTTTACTCTTCTTACTCCTCCTTTTTCTTCTTACCCCCCTCTTCTTCTTCTTACTCACCCCTTCTTCTTCTTACCCCCCTCTTTTTCTTATCTCCCCTCCTGCTTACTCCCCCTCCCCCTTTTCTTACTCCCCCATCTTTTTCTTACTCACCCCTTCTTCTTCTTACCCCCCTCTTTTTCTTATCTCTTCTCCTTCTTACTCCCTCCCTCCCCTCTTCTTATTTCCCTCCCTCCCCTCTTCTTATTCCCTCCCCTCTTCTTATTCCCCCCCTCTTCTTATTCCCCTCCCTTCCCTCTTCTTATTTCCCTCCCTCCCCTCTTCTTGTTCCCTCCTCCCCTCTTCTTGTTCCCCCTCTTTTATTCCCCTCTTCTTGTTCCCCTCCCTCCCTCTTCTTATTCCCCCCCTCTTCTTATTTCCTCCCTCCCCTCTTCTTATTCCCCCTCTTTTTATCACCCCCCCTCTTCTTATCCCCTCTTTTTATCCCTCCTCTTCTTGCCCCCCTGTTCTTGCACCCCCTCTTGTTACCCCCCCTCTTCTTACCCCCTCCCCTGTAGCGTGGCCGAGCTGCACTCCGGTCCGCGGTGGCCGGCCGGCCGGAGTGATAGGAAGGTGCACACTGAGTGTGCACTTCCTGTCAGTCCGGCCGGTTACAGGAAACAGAAACTCAGCGCGGAACAGGAGTTTTGTTTCCTGTAACCGGCCGGACTGACAGGAAGTGCACACTCAGTGTGCACCTTCCTATCACGTACCCGAACGGTACCTTCCCAAGGCTTCAACAGCCTGAGGATCTTAACAGAGCGCTCGGGCGGCTGCAGCATTTAAAGGGCCGGCCCAGGAACGCGGACGGCCCCCAGGTGCCGCGGTCCACCGGGAAATTTCCCGGTATCCCGGTGGGCCAGTCCGGCCCTGTATATAAATATATATTCGCCCTGTGACTTCCCCGAAGAAACTGGAAAATCAGTACATGGATGCACTGTTCATGAGACATTGCTAAAAAAGGAATAATAGGGCTTTCTTGCACTAACACATATCAGGATTTAGAAATTTCCTGTGAAAATGCAATTCATGAGTATGAAAAAGCACTAATGAAATTATAACCACTAAATGGGGCCAGCACAGGTGAGAAAGTGGTTTACCGAAATATCTGAAAATACCCCATTTTGAATACCCTTTTGAACAGAGTATTAAAGGACATCTCAATTACTGAAAATGTGCAGATCTCCCACAGATACCTGCTGGAGGATATGTAGTCTTCATGGTACATATCTGATCATGATAGACTCATTCCACTATGCAAACATGTTGGCAGCATAATTGTGGTGCTTAATGCACCTATTTGCCTGGATCTGTGGAAATATTTGTTATCTAAACCCTAACATTTACTTACATCTGTGGAACACGAATTGTGGAAATGGAATAAAATACTGTCTGGTCAATACACAAACTGAGCCTAAAATAAGAATATACAGTAGTCTGTTTTTAGGGCAGTCACCTTAGATTTGGTTTTGCAACAAGTTCATATTATCAAAATAAGTTAATGTATTAGTAGGGGTAAATATGTGTAAACACATGTATCGCAGTTCCTTTATGTTTGTGTCCTGTAATTGAGTGCCTTCATGTTGGCTAATTGTCAGTGTTTGTTATAAGAAGATTAAACAATGGTTCTGTTTCTCCTCCATTAATTCAATGTGTGCCCTGGCTGTGCCTGAACTAAATTGGATTGTGATGTCAGGGTCAAAAATCTTTAAATAATGTACATTTTGTGGAAAGTGGAATATCACATGTTATTATTATTTTTTATTGAAAAGTGAAAATATTTAAAAAATGTTTTACTTTTTAGAACTTGTTCGTGGCATGCATTAAGTTTTCCTCTCTCTATTTTTGCAGCGCCTGGCTTCTGTCGGACTGGATGCCAAAAACACAGTTTGTATTTGGGACTGGCAGAAAGGGAAAGTTCTTGCAACAGCCACTGGCCATTCTGACCGGGTACATTCACTGTTATCTTTGTGTTCGTGTCAGATAATACAAAAATAAGTACAAAACTATTCATGTTTAGAAAATATTTTTTGCTATGACATAATATTTGATATGTGGGATCATTATATACAGGAACTTGCCTTTACAATCTGTGTATCATTACATTTTGATATTTAAGATCTTCCATCCATCAGTGGTTGGACTTCAGCTCTCACAGTTCTCATCAATACCACCTGGATTGCCCATTCTTAACAGTCAGCGGTGCACTGTTAAATAACACGTTACTGTTATCATTTTCCAGGCTGAGGCATGAGATTTAAAGGGCCACTATAGTCACCAGAACCACTACAGCTTAATGTTGTGATTCTGGTCTCTATAGCATGTCCCTGCATGCTGAGGAATGGATGAATGATCATTGCAGTAGCTGGTATTGAAATCAATTGATTACTGATCATCAAAAATGCTCTGTGCATTCAGTCAATACGCAGAGCATACAAACCGTTTGACAGAATGACTTCAATATGTAAATTGTTTGAAGCAGTATGCGTGTCGATACAAGCTCAACTGAGAGAAGACACTCCAGGCCCTGATCCAGCAGCTGTGCCGTGTTAGACAGCCGTGCGATAGGGCATTTAAAAATCATAAAAACATCAAAAATGCAGACTTTGTAAGTGTCCCTTTCTTGGAGAGACAGACTCTGTTTGGGCCTAAATCCATCTTCCCATCTTTTCTAAAAGTTCCAAATTTCTGGTGTGTATGAGTGTATAACTGCCATAATTTGTATAAATGACAGTCATTATTATATGAATATGAAACCAAAAATGTCTCAGAATACCCCACCCCTTGACCGCACCCAACTAAATTAAAACGGCCCCCTTTTGTCTCTATGAAATGTTGGGAGGTAGGAAAATGACATCTTGAATTGTAACGAAACGCAAACCAAAAAGTGAAAAAATATGGGACAACTTTTTGCACCTGCTACTGGTGCTAATCTATATACTCACATTTTTGTGAAGAAATAAAGTTGGGTTTGTTTTTTCGTTTTTAAATTTCATGTTTTCTGTTGGGGTCATGTACTGTAACTTCAGGTTTCATTGGAGAAAACATAAAATGTCATTTTGTGAAGAAAAGGTTGTATGAGAGAAAATGCATGTTATCCACATTAATAAACCAATAGGAATTATTTAAGGAATCAGTAAAGGACCCACTATACATTATAGTTATGTACATTTTCTATCAATCCAATTTATGTCATTAGTCAGAACCTAGTCTTTATCCGTATTGGCATTTTCTGTGTTTTTATGGTTCGTTATGTCTGCTTGTTTGTTGACAGATATTTGATATTGCTTGGGATCCATATCAGCCAAACAGATTGGTCAGCTGTGGGGTAAAACATATAAAGGTAAGTCGTAACCAGTCTCTTCACAATCTTTACATTAAATGCTCAGCAATGCAGTGTCCTGTATAAGGAAAAAAAAAACTGATTAAAGAACTTGTGCAGGCTTATTCACTGAAGTGAGAATTCAAAGTGAATTTGAATTGAATTTCAAATTCATGGTAAAAAGAGCCAAATTAGACGCAGCCTCAAATTTCAAATTCAGTTCAAATTAACTTTGAAATTCACCCTTTAATGAATAATCCTGTTGGTTTTATTAAGTGAGGTGGAGAAATTTATTTTAGATTCTTCACAGTTCATGGTGAAGTGGATGAATTCCAATTTTTCATGGTATATTTAATATTTTAAACGCATTAAATGGTATGAAGATATGAATAAACACATGGTATAATGAACATTTGTATGCAACTGAAGCATGACGAGTTTAGGAAAAATATAGTTCTTTCATCTGTTGACTAAAGTAAGCAAAAAAACAGCAAAGACATGAAAAAGTATTAATGGTACAGGTTAAGTAAATGGATTGGAATCTTGGGTATAGCAGAGAAATAAGCATTCATTATATACCTAGGACCATGTGTTTCTGTTAAATAGTGATGCTAATGAGCAGTAACCAGCAGTTATGTTTGTTTTCAGTTCTGGACTTTATGTGGAAATGCTCTCACAGCAAAAAGAGGGATATTTGGGAAAACTGGTGATCTACAAACCATCCTGTGCTTAGCGTGTGCAAAAGAGGACATCACATACTCAGGCGCTCTAAATGGAGACATCTATGTATGGAAAGGGTTAACATTAATTCGCACCATCCAAGGAGCGCACAGTGTAAGTATATCTTTATGACAAGATAAGCTTTTCTAGTAAGCTACGTTTACATTACTTCTACATGAAATGCATCCTACCCTTACCTCTTGTGCCACTTTACCCCACTCCTTCTAGAATGTAAGACAGTTTGAGCAGGCCATCAACATCCTCTGTTACTGTGCTTCCAACTTGTCTTGTTGCAAATACATGTCTGTTAGTCCACCTATTGTACAGTGCTCCAGAATTTATTGGTGCTTTTTAAATAATAATAATCTCATCAGACCACCAGTCCCTCTAGTCTCACATTGCTCAATTCGCTGCCATTTAGGAGTTAAATCACTTTGTTTATCCACATCCACATCTCCTGCCTGTGACTTGCACGGCCTCCCTACACACTTCCTGTAAAGAGAGGTCTAATTTGTAAACTTCCTTTATTGCACAGTGTGTTTAATTTAGAATGTATTTTCTCCTGCTCTGTTAATAGCCTGCAGCCTCCTGTGTGATTAAAGTTCAATTAACAGAGCAGGAGATAAACAAAACTTCTAAAGTAAACGCACTTTGCTGTAAGATCTGATTGGAAATGAAACATCTTTTTCATGTTGGCTCTGTGAGTCACAGACAAGGGAGTCTTAAGTGAAGAATTGAACAGTGAGACTGCAGGACCATTTTACACCAAAACTGCTTAATTAAGCTGAAGTTGTTTTGGTGTTTAGAGTGTGCCTTTAAATTCTACATGGCTACTCACCAAACGTCTTGCTGTTTGGTGAGTGGGACTCCTTAATATTTTTGTTAACTCACCATATAAGTAATATTATCATAAATATAAATACAGACTCGTGCATTTTCAGAATGCGTGGTAAATTGAGAAATGTTGCCCCATTCTATTTAATAATACAAAATTAATGTAAGGAGGCAAATGAAAATAAATTGTTTATACATTTGCAGAGCAAATCCTGGTATAAAATTAGAACAAAGGTTTCATGATCCTAAATTCAAGAAAACATTTGCCTCCTGTAACTGTACATACAATTCCACAGCAATATGCTATCCCATAATCATTTTGCCTTTTAGTTAATATTTTATTCGCATTCTGGCAATTCGCTATTTTTACATAGAGAGATATTAACTGACTGTCTGGGAGAGCCCAATCTTCAACGCATATGAGATCCTGACATTTACTAATAATTAGAAAAATATATTCGATCCATGCACAGTTCAGTATAACCATTCACAATACTCTAGGCATGTTTTTATGACAGCAGAATTTGATTGTATATGTGTTTGTTCCTCTGATGCAAAATATGGTCTTTATAGAATGACTCATCCTTGTGCAACTGTGCATCATCCTTGTGCAACTGTGCACAATATAGAAACTCTTTCTTCTAGTTATTAAATGTATTAGAATAATAAATTTTCCTTAGAATAATCTTTATTTGCATTCTACAAGTATTCAAGTAGTTTTAACATCTCCCAATGTATTCTCTGATGTCCATAAAGGCAGGGATCTTTAGCATGTATGCTTGTGAAGAAGGCTTTGCGACTGGCGGAAGAGATGGCTGTATCCGACTGTGGGACGCAGACTATAAACCAATAACTAAAATCGATCTCAGAGAGAGTGATCAGGGTTATAAAGGTAAGCAATGATTTTATATAGATCTGTATACACGTAGCCCCATTTGCACTCTTATGTTATACGGTGGAGTCGTGTTTTTGCTGCCCCGATGCATTAACTCGGGGGTCCTCAAACTCCGGCCCCCCAGATGTTGCTGAACTACAACTCCAATGATTCTTTGAATTACATAGATAGCCAGAGAATCATGGGAGTTGTAGTTCAGCGACATCTGGGGGGCCGGAGTTTGAGGACCCCTGCATTAACTCATCACAGAGACATTTACTGGTGTTTTAATTCAATGCATATGTTTTGCTAACTAATATACCTTGTGGTTTGTCGGTAATTATTCACAGTGATTCTTTTGGGATTATTTTATTTTTAATTATTTTCCTGCAGGTAATGAATTCTACATTCTGCAGGGCAGTATTTGTCTTTCAGTGTCCTAGCACCCGCAACTAGTATGTGTCCTAGATCTGGATAGCTAGTCAAAACCCTGGTTTGTAGAAAAGCACTATATCTGGCACTAGACATGAGCAACACATTGCATGGGGCAGTAAAAAAGATTTTATCTTTTAATAATAATTAATGTTTTTAAAAGAAGTGGAATACTGCTTTTATGAAAATTCAGAAATCAGACAATTCTTTTTTTAATTGTGAAATTGTACAAACCATTAACTATAAAAGTTGTGCGTATTTATGTTGTGATGCTATTTTGTGTTTAGGTTTGTCTATCCGGAGTGTGTGCTGGAAAGCAGACAGGTTATTAGCGGGAACTCAAGACAGCGAGATATTTGAAGTAATGGTGAGAGAAAGAGATAAGCCAATGCTGATAATGCAAGGCCATTGTGAAGGGGAGCTCTGGGCACTCGCTGTGCACCCTAAAAAACCCTTGGCTGTCACTGCAAGTGATGATCGTTCTGTAAGGTATGTTAGATGTGTGCTCCTTTGGTAATTTCCTCAAACACTAGAGAATGTGGCACTTTTCAGAGCAGGAAAACAAAGCTTATGTGGGTATACACAGCCATCTTAATAACACAGTAAAATAGGTCTTCATCAGCGTGTAAATCAATTTAAGAGCAAATAAGAAAAAGTTGTTTGAATTTTTGGGATCTCTTATCAGGGAGATTAACACATTTTAGTTCTAATAATTTTTAAAACCAGATATATTTCTGTAAAATGTAGACACCTGGGCCAAAAGCTGGGATTCAGACACCATTTCGTTTAAGCTTTGAATACACAAAGAATTGAAAATGTGTTGGGTACACAAGGTGCTCGGAGGGTTAACAGTCATCAACACATGCATATACACACAACCTTGCATTTAATTTAATGATCAATTACCTCCCCCTGCTTATTGCAAATTCCCGTTAATTATCCTGTTAACACTATTTGGTTTCATTCCATAGATTATGGAGTCTTGCAGATCATGCACTGATTGCTCGCTGTAATATGGAGGAAGCAGTACGTAGTGTGGCTTTCAGTCCAGACGGGGCCCAGTTGGGGCTTGGGATGAAGGATGGTTCCTTCACTGTGCTCAGGGTCAGGTAGGAACGAACACCTCTGTAACACACTTTTTATAAAATTGTTTTTTTTACATCTTAGAGAGGGTGGAATGAGTGAAATCTTGAGGAAGTGAATTAATTTAAACCCATATGGACTTAAAGTATTAAACGGATACTATAGGTACGAAAACAACTTTAGCTTAATGAAACAGTTTTGGTGTATTGATCATGTCCCTGCAGTCTCACTGCTCAGTTATCTGCCATTGATGAGTTCATTCACTTTGTTTGTGCCACCCTAGTCACACCTCCCCTGCATATGATCTACACCACATCCCGGCAACTTCCTGAAAATGAGTCTACATTTTTTATCTTCTTTTATAGCACATTTTGTTTCATTTTGAAGTTCTTAATTCCTACTCTGTTTAGAGCCTGCAGCAGCCCCTTGTGTGTGATTAAAGTTCAATGAACAGATCAGGAAATAAGGACATTCTGAAGTAAACACACTGTACTGTAAGATCTAATTGAAAACAAATTTTTTTTTTTCCTGCAGGCTGTGTGAGTCACCGCCATGGAAGGTGCGGCTACAGCTGCATAAACAGAAACTAACTTGATTTAGCTCATGAATGGCAGAGGATTGAGCAGTGAGGCTGCAGGGGCATGTTCTATACACCAAAACTGCTTCATTAAGCTAAAGTTGTTTTGTTGCTTATAGTGTCTCTTTAACATTTACATGATCGGCTGAAGTCAATAAACAAGAACACCCATACAGTTACATCTCCCAAGTTTTATTGCATCCCAATTGATCCAGATTGTGTTTGGTTATATCAGAAGCTAAATTTTCATTCCTAGTGAGTTCAATCCCTAGAGCCAATATGAGAGCTTGGTAAATCATCTTTGTGTTGCAACTCCATTAAATTATGTTAAAACACATATGAATTTAGATAACATACATAATGAAATTGGAACAAGTATAAACCTACTTTTTTATCTAATAGAAAATGTACTATTTAAAATCAACCCTGACTTCCAAGTAGGTCAGATATTATCCTGTGTGATCTGCATTACAACGTAAGCCAACAGGGAAACTTTAGAAAACTGCTATAACTTGGAGAGAACAGCTTTTAATATAACTTTCTATAAAATCTACGTAGGTTGCCAATGTGTTGTATTTTTTGCTGCAAAATATTCCAGTTAGTTCTATTTGTTTTCTGTAGTATAATAGATAGATGCAACACACCACTGTTGCAGTATATATTGAGCAATTTATTTAAAAACAAATTGGGGACGAATAGTGGGTTCCTCCAAAGGAACTTAAATGCCTTAGTTTGTAAGGTTGTAATGAAACCCCTATGTCTTCAGAATCTCCAAACTGAAATTATATATATATATATATATATATATATGTAAAGGCAGTATGCCTGGAGTTGTGTGAGGGATTTTTACCAGCCTATATCTATATGTTCTGCCAACATTTGGAACCTCACCCTCCTCTTATTCATCGGTTTTGCACACAACAACTGACTTGCTCTTACTGGTATAGCTCAAATCTTATTGTGTATGTATATTGAATATAAACATATACAATAAGGTTTGAGCTATATATTTTATTAATGCACCATTATTCTCTTGCCATTTAAGGATTTATATTCATTCCACTAACATCATCTGATGTGAAGAGCTCATGTGTCCAAAATCTTGAATCATTATTAAAAGTACTTGTGTATCCAAGCATCCTTTGCTTTGTTTTCAGAGATATGACAGAGGTGGTTCATATCAAGGACAGGAAAGAGGTGATCCATGAAATGAAGTTCTCACCAGATGGATCATATCTTGCCGTGGGCTCCAATGATGGCATGGTGGATGTCTACTCAGTAGCTCAGAGATACAAAAAAATTGGGGAGTGCAATAAGTCTTCCAGCTTTATAACTCACCTCGACTGGTCTGTGGACAGTAAATACTTACAAACCAATGATGGGGCTGGAGAAAGACTCTTCTACAAAATGCCATGTATGTACTTACTATGAGCTCTGATCTTTTAAGTGAATTTATAAGAAGTGATTTGAACGTTATTTCCCTATCTTGGGCTATCAGGATTGAAGAACTGTCACTCACCCTTTCTAAACTAGCACTATGATACTCTTAAACCTTTAACGCTTGAACTGCAGAGAGGAGAACAGAGCTGCGTTTTTTAGCATCTGGCACTAAGGTGGATAAGAACGTCAGTAATTTCCCTGATCTATGATACTTTAGCTCTCCGAGGCAGTTACATGTATTGCACAATATGTACATTTTGCATTATGATATACATACGTATATACATCCTTCTTTAAGTCTGAATCTAATAAACTCCCAGAAAATCTGAGCACTGTGCTCCCACCTAGTTTTTCTAGATTTGGTACAGTTTAGCAGGACATGTGAGTGTTGTCAAAGATGCAACACATAGGTTTCTGACCACACAGTATGTTACATCCATGCTGATATAAATATTTTCTACATTATTGAACTGTCACTTCAACCTCCTCTTCAACTGCAGATAGAGTTAAACCAAAGGTGGACCAGTTGCTGTAAATTCATGAATGAAAGTTTGTTATTCAATGTGTAGATTGGCACCTTATTATATGTTAAAAACAAAAAACTAACATGGAACTGGAGGATTACTGAACAAACACAGGAGGGACTGTATTAGATTATGAAGCAGGTTATACTTGACTGCTGGTGGCCCTTGTGGCATGCTTGACATTCCTGCTTTATATGTATATCTTTTGGGGGGTTTGCAGTAATTGAAGTTTGTATGTTGATTCTAAGTATTTATAATACTATGGTACAAGTCATGTTAGCGGAATGTGTATGTGGAGCGGTAAGCATGTTTTGTGACCACAATATATATTTTCCAGCTGGTAAACATCTTACAAGCAAGGATGAGATCAAAGCGATTCATTGGTTTTCTTGGACTTGCGTGGTTGGACCAGAGGTGGATGGAATATGGCCAAAATACACCGATATTACGGATATCAACTCAGTGGATGCCAATTACAATAGCTCTGCATTGGTAACGGGAGATGACTTTGGACTAGTTAAATTATTCAGGTTTCCAAGTTTGAAAAAAGGTAAGCTGCTTCTTTTCTCTGTTGTTGTCTACTTGATTCAGGTCCACAAGAGCCTTCCATTCCACTAGTTATGGATTATTGCCAAATGACATTCCAATAGGAATACTGATAGCACTGTCAGGTGTCCTGTGATGATTCTCCCCTCCTTTAAATTGATAATGGTTATTTAGACTGTTAGTAATATAGGCTGAAAAAAGTTCAGCCTCACGTCTGATTCTGCAGTCAATTCAAAAGTAGGAAAAAATTGTATTTTGAAGCGATTTTCAATATTGCCACAAAATGAGAAAAAGATTCCTTCTTGACATCAAAATGGCAGTCAGATTTCTCCTAGTGCCAACAAGCTGTTACCCATATATTAACTATTGTATCCTTGATTGTGTTGTTTATTAATTAATTTTTTTGTTTGCTTATATTTTTTTTTAAAATGCATCCAGGCATTGTTTAAAAAAATCTGTACAGAAACTAATAAAAAAAAACTAATCCTTAACCATTGAACTGGTTACTGGAGAGCTGTTTTTACTGGCTCTGTATATATTTATGTAATATTGTCACATTCCCTATGAGATTATTTTCTAAAGTAAACAAGTTTTCTTCATATCTAAAATCTTTCATTCCCCTTTTTAATTTTGTAACACGTCTCTGCACTTTCTAGTTCCATAATATCCTTTTTTTAAAGTGACGGTGTGTGAATATGTAAACTAGCCAATGGACAAGTGTATGAGTTCTAGATCGTAAGCTCTCATCAACCTATTGTTTCTGTAACATTTTGTAATTGTCTCATTTATTGTTACATTTCCCAGTTTGTAATATTGTAAAGTGTTACAGAATAAGTTGGTGATATATAAATAATTTTAATAACAATAACAGTTCCCTGCATGTTTAATGGACCCGTCTTCAATTCTTTAATTTTATTGAGATTTCTGAAATACATGCTAAAGAGTAAGTTTTACTGACTCCGTGTTTACCTTTGTAATTAAGTAAACTTTGTTTTTAAGAACAGTTTTAGCTGTAGGATATCAGAAGTGGATAGGACTGATTCTTTTATTATTGATCACGATGCTCAATAATGCACCTGATGTGATAATCGCGCCGTTCTGAATTATTATTATTAACATTTCTATGGCGTCAACGTAATTAACATATGGAATGTAACATAGGCAAGAGGTGAAGAAGGACCTGCTGAAACGAGCTTACAGTGTATGAGATAAATTATGACTTTGTTTACTGTATAATAAATATTCATCTGCCATTAATTTCTTTTCCCATCATCCTCATTCAACTGGAGGATTACTGAAAAAAACACAGGAGGGACTGTATTAGATTATGAAGCAGGTTATACTTGACTGCTGGTAGCCAACAGGCAGTCCTATAGCTTTAGATAATAGAAAAAGAAACAAATATATACACAAGAAATACAAATGCACCTAACCAACTCGGTGGTAAGAATATGCAAAGGTACTTAACTGAGTATAAGGTCGATACAGCTTCCCAAGAGGTTTCCCCCAAACGAACCTCAAATACAGATATATGAATAGCCAAAATTGGGATACAGCTGAATAACTAAAAAACACAAGAAAACATAGCACATAGTGAAGTACAATCACAATAATAAAATATAACCCACAATGATTGCACTCACAAAATAGTGATGAATAGTGCGCCTTTAAGCCCACATAGGGCTGCAGTAGCGTTCACCCTCCACGAATAGGTTGCTCTGTCTTCCAAGAAATGGGAGTATGCCAGTAAAATGTAAAAAAATCCTTTTATTATTAAAGGCACTAATAAGCCTATATCAAAGATCAATAAATGAAATATAGGAAAAATACTGCAATCTAACGCGTTTCGTCCATACAAATTGGACTTCCTCAGAGACAATTTTGCAGTATACACAGTATATAAAATACAAAGCATGCATAATTTCCACCCCCAACAGAGTCCCTTAAATACAACCAGTCCATATGTTGATTGGAGGACTTCTTCATAGAAACACCTCTTCAATAAGGGAAATTTCTTCCAGGTGATCTTCACCTTAAAAATCGCGGCTAAAAACAGCTGGTTATCCGTCCGTCTCTGTGTTAATATTATGCGTTCCAAATGTCAACTTCCGGTTGCGTTCCACATACGTATTTCCGGTAGCGGATATCAACGGACGTCATGGACGCTGACGTTGCGTTCCAAAACAGGATGTATGCGTTCCAAATAACAAGCCACTCGAGTGGCTAAAAAGGCTAAAAAAAACAGTCTTAAAATAATAGCAACAATAATATAACCATTCTCATGTTACAGATTAGAACACATACACTACAGAAACAGATCATCATCAAATGGAAAATGGGATTTACATCCTCTGCCACTAAAAGAGAATATTGAATTAAAATATAAAAATGAATATGAAAAAATATTATTAATGAATATACATATATATATATAAAAAATATATATACATAAATATTAAATAAAAATAATATTAAAAAATGAAATAAATGAATAAACAAAACAAAAAAAGAAAACAAATATGAAATATGAAAGTAAATATAAATAAAATTAAATGAAAAAAATACAATAAAATAAAATAAAAAAATAAAAATAAAAATAAAAAATAAGAATAAAAATAAATAAATATAAAATAAAAATAAATCAAAATAAAAATGAGTATAAATATAAATGAAAATAAGAATAAAAATTGTAAAAATAAAAATAAATTTAAATAAAAATAAATGGAATTAAAATAACAAATAAAAATTAAAATTAAAAATAAAAATAAAAATAAAATAACAATTTAAATGTGTATAAAAAAGGCAGAAGATGGAAATCCCCCATCAAATAAGCAATAATGTTATACCATAAAACTAGCCAGATCCACATCTATATTTAAACCTTTGGGTGGCAAGGTATCCAAATGGTAAATCCAATAGGTCTCCCGTTGTGCTAGTTTCAATTCCCTGTTGCCTCCTCTCCAATGAGGGGACACATGTTCTATACCACAACCCTTGAAATCCCTCCAATTAAAGGCCTGGCATGTGTTACAGTGAACTGGCACTGAATGGGTTGTTATACCTTTCCTTATGTTGTTAATATGTTCCATAAGGCGTACTTTCAGGGGTCTCTTCGTCTTTCCCACGTATTGTTTGCCGCACGGACACTGCAATAAATAAATAAATCACAAAGTCCGTGTGGCAACCAATGCTGGATTTTACTGGGAAAGAAACCCCAGTGGTATGACTTGTAAACTGTAGAGTTAAACCCAAGTTCATCCTTGAGCAAGCCCGGCACATTTGGCATCCTTTAGATCCCTTCATATGAGTGATAACTTTCTTTTTAGGGATATCTTTTCTAGGATAACTTGGAGCAATTAAATCTTTCAGATTTTGACCTTTCCTATAAATAATAGATGGACGATCAGGGAGAATATTTCCAAGAACTGGATCCTGGAGTAATATGGGCCAGTGTTTTTTAAGGCACTTATTAATTTTCCAATGGTCAATATTATATTTCGTTATAAATGAATATCTAAAATGTTCATTTGAATCATTCTTTGGATGGTCCTATAGCTTTAGTAGATGTAATATTCCCATGATGCTCTGAACTGCAATGGGTATGATGCCTTGTTATGGAATAGGGTGGCATTGCATGATGGGAATTAAAATACTACAAATAATGGACGTTGATCATATCAGGTAAATGTGGGCTGTATATCTCCTTCCTGAGCGTTATGTAACTGATTTTACACAGCTGTTTTTATATTGTTTAAGCCTGGTCAGACTGAGTGTTTGTGCATCAGCTTTGAAGGAAAGAGCTTTAATAAGCGAAGTGAAAAATTCTAATCTAGATATGCAAGGTTCCTAGATCTCATTTATAGTGGGAACTTCTTTAAATATTTATATTATAAATAAAACAGAAATGCTGAGAGTATTTCTAGAATAAACCAGCTTTTTATACTTCTATGATATGATATAAATAAAACAGAAATACAAGAGTGTTTCCAGGCTATATTAACGTTTCATTTATATGATTTTTTAAAAAGCAGATCTCACGCAGTACATGTAGCTGATTTCACTAAGAATAGTACGTCGAGGGATGCTGTATCCCCATATTCACTAGTGCGCTGGACTGATTTAGCACATGGTTACACATATCAATTGTACAAACTGTGCTGGGACTGATCTATGTACAGTTAAATAATATTTTATATTAAATGTGTAAGACAGAAACAACGTAACAGGTTAACTTCACACTAACACTTCAAATACAGAATAGGTGTTGTAGAATAAGGGTTTGTAGGGGACTACTAGCATAGACGAGGGCTGGACCTCTGCATTAGCTAGATAGTACTGTATGAGAATTGATATCATGATTGGATACATTTTCATTGATATGTTTAAAAATGGAACAGTCTTTTCCAAAAATTGGAACTCCCATAACTTCCAGTTTTCTCAGATTCTACAGGTCAGTTCCTATATGATACCCATGCCCTATGGGACTTACCTTTTGTTGGTTTCAAGTGAGATCAGTTGCTGCACTCTACATGTGCATAAATACTCCTGTAGCACTTTGCTTATGGGCAGTTCTGATAATGTTGGCATTGTTTGTACCTGCTTTAAAAAAATTACCCTACTGTATCAACTTGAACACTTGTATATGTTGGTTGGTAGGTCCCCTGTTTCTACCATTCAGTAGTTCTGCATATAAAGAAATAGAAATGCTGTCGTAACCCTAGCTGTCTTGTATACCAGATGTAGTCTTCCAATCCTTTAAATCCAAGCAGCAGCATCATTCAGGCCAATGCCTGTAGAAGTGGGTCTACTTAGACTTTATGGTCCATGCTGTACCTCATTCACTGCACCTGCGACATTCTGTCCCGGCCCTCTATTATTCTCATTTTCGTTAATACCCTTAAGGAAGTACATTTTAGTTAGGCAACTACACCTAGATCCTTCAGCACACAATTCATGATGCAAGATATCATCAGGTCATGATAATTTATGTTATCTATCAGATATAAACTGTAAGCCTCAACGAGACATTTAACATTAACCTATTTAAAAAATATGTATATTTTGCTTCTTCAGTGTTTAAAAGGTAACCTGTTTTTTTACCCCACAGGAGCAAAATTTCGTAAATATGTTGGTCATTCAGCACATGTAACCAATGTTCGCTGGTCACATGACTTCCAATGGATTTTGAGCACTGGTGGAGCTGATCACTCGGTTTTCCAGTGGAGGTTTATTCCTGAAGGAATCACAAATGGCCTCATAGAAACTGCACCACAAGGTACGATCTATGTTATTTCCAGTCAGTTTATACAGTTGTTTTTTCCAGTGCTGTGGTAGAATGTCAAAACATTAGAAAGTGATTTTTATATCTTTAAAATAACATGACCAAACTGGACCTTGGAAGGAGTATAGATTAAATGACATCTAAAAAAACAGGTTTTCAGGATTTTCTTACTGTTAATGGGACATATTATACTTCTTGTCAGCAATCAGTTTAGTGTACTACGGAATTATGTTTGAAATTGGTTTTTTAAAAATATTTTCCCTTTGTGTCTCTCCCACCAGCACATGTTTATCTATTTTGCCCCTTCTTAAGCCCCTGTCTGTGACTTTTGCCCATTCCCCAGCCCCGCTATGTCTTTGTCCCCTCCAGCCCTTCTGTGTATCTCGTTTTCCTCCAGTCCCTTTTGTGTGTCACATTTTCCCCTTCCCAGCCCCCCTGTGTATCTTTCCCCCAACACTTTGTCTCTTTCTCCCTCCAGCCCCTCTGTGTCGGCATCTCCCGTTAACCCCTATAGGTGTCTCCCCTCAGCCCCTGCCTGCCCTGCCCCTTTCCCTAGTCTCTGTCTGTCTCTTTTGCCCATTTCTCAACCCCTCTGTGTGTTTGTCCCCAGCCCCTCTGTATGTCTCTTTCTTACCCAGCCCCTTTAGTGTGTCTCTTTGTGCCAACTCACCTCCTTCATATAGTGTGGCTGAGCTGCTGACCGTAGTAGAGGAGCTCCTGTAACCTCTGCCTGGTGTGAAGCAATTCGGTGCTCTCTGTGAGCACTTCCTGTCAGACTGGGTAGAGGAAGCTACAGCTCGGCCATGCGACATGGAGTGACAGGCAGGAGGGGAACGCACACCACAGCTGGTCGAGCCCTAAGGTGGCCGACTTATGGTACTGCTGGCCCTGTCCTGGTAGGCCTTTTTTGTCCCCTTTTGTGGAATGATACACCTCTAGTTTGATGGTGTAATGCTTATCACAGTGCAACACAGTAACAACATTTCAACTGCAAAATCATTTGTTTCTTGCTGAATTATTACAGTGTTATTTATTAAATTGTGCATGCTGGGAATTTACCAATGAATTTCACATTATATGCAAAAAGAGTGAAATAGAAAACTGTTTCTAGTTCAGACATTTGCCCTAATATGTGATATTCACTTGTCAATTTCTGACAGATTCCTTGCTTGTTACTTGAATAGATATTAGCTAGTCAGGACAACACCAAAATGTTCCAGAATAGTTCCACCAATTGAGTTACGTCGTCAGTCACACTTATTAACAATAGGATCTGTTTCAGATTGTTTGACAGTAAATCTTCCTTCCTTACAGAAGCCATTGTAGATTCCTGCAGTGAAGAATCCGATTCTGATCTGTCTGACGTGCCCGAACTAGACTCTGACATTGAGCAGGAGACTCAAATTAATTACGACCGCCAGGTCAGTTTTAAAGACTGTCAAACTGAGTTCAACACAAGACTGCCAGTCAGTTACAATGCATCATTTTTATATCTTGAGATCGGAGGCCAATACCATGAATTGTCTGTCATTATTACTACTGTGGGACACATTTACCAATATTTTGTTAAAACAAGTTACACATAGAATAGTTTCCCAATTTCACAACACTGTTATGGTTGAAATGGAGATACTGGTCTCTAGGAGTGTTTTTTATTTAATAAATGTAGTCTTGTGGCATAATTGATTATTCTTATTAAATTAAGTCAAAGCCTTGATTTCCAGGCAGAGCATGTACATATTGTGACACATTGCTTTTAAAAATCATTCCGTATTTTTAGTCTGTGGCAAACACCCTTATTTTGCAAATTGCATGCAAAGGATCAGACACCCACGTAACTGTAATCAGATGCAGTTTCTTGTCCTGCATTATTGACAGACTTGAGCAAGGCTTATTGTCAGCCAGCATATCAAAGCAACCTTGATTTAATCTAGGTACCTGGTCTGTTGCATGCATTCTGATTGCAGAGCTAACCGCCTAAGGCCGTTTGATACCAGGAAGTCATCTTTTCTGCTGTGTAGTGTAGATTTAATTTCTTGGATGCAGCTCCACTTAATTATATTTAATGTTATTGTGCAATTGATATTTAAACATTATATTATCTGTTTCCAATAGTTTCTTTACTCCAGTTTGGCTGGCTCATGATTGTTGCAACTTCAGTACATGACCTTTTTTCACTGCTCAATAATAGTAAAAGTGTTATTGAAAAATATTGGCATGGTGGCATTCTGATCGCTTCATTACTCTTAACAGCCAGTAAGATGCCGATGAATATCATATATGCCAACGTAATTTCTCTAAACGTTCCCAGATTCAGCTGGCGTATTAGAGCCTGAAGATGACACATGTCCAGATAATCAGTTGACCTTTCACTGTCCATTTGTCCTCTGATTAGTCAATTTAAACTATTGTACCCTTTGGGCTGGTTTGGCCTTGTATTCCTTTCTACATTTGGTTTATGTGGGATCTGTCAGTCTGGCTGTTGCCCCACTTCACATTCTGGTCCAAAATTGCGTTTGCAAAGATCTTCCGGATGGCTTCCTACTGACATTACAGCATTTATTGGCCAAGCACTAATAAATGTTGTACTTTCTTTTTGGATTGTGGTTGATTGACTCAGCTCCATTATTTAGGAAGAGACATCATTTCACAGTTTGTCATTTGTAACAGTGCCTTATCTCTTTCCCTTCTTGATCCTTCTTAATTATTGAGGGCTTATTTGACCTACTGTATTTTATAAAACTGCCGAGCTACGTATTTATTTTTTCCTCCCATCTCCTTGTATCTGTAATGTTTTCCTTTAAAAGTGTAAATAAACTGCAGACATTTTGAAGAGTTTAACTCTTTGTTACAGAGTTATGAGCAGTGGAATACATTAAGTCCCCCACCCCCCCACACCCACTACACCAAGAAGCAGCTTGTTTTGAATGGCAACCTATACATAAAATAGCACAGTATTCAGTTTGACAGTACACTCTATTATGACGTTTATTTGCCTGCATATTGTGTTTTTCCTCTCTATTCTTAGCCTGCTGTCTGTGTTATAGAAACATCCCGTTTTCTAATTAGAGTGAAAGCTTGGCAAACCATTAATTCATAGCAGCAATGACAGCTCATATATTGTATGCATCTCATAGCCTTCAGTCAGCAGAACGGTTAGCCTAACGATTCTCATTCACTGAACTGACAAGGCTCCCTCTTTAGCTATTGGGAGGCCTGCCGCTGCTTGGAGCCCGACTCACACTAACACCAGGCTTGCTTTAGAGTTGATGTGACCTGTAGCAAAGAATAGGTATTATCCAGCATTATTTATACCCTAAAAAAGGCCCCTCTCGCTCATAAATAAATATTTTAGGATGTTGCGTAGACCACAGGGGTAAAATATGAAAATGAATGATCCTGTGACTTGTGACAACAAGGAAGGTAATGCCTTTATAATAAATCAAGATTGAGTTAAGTGAGAATTTAGAAAGAGGGCGCTAGCAAGACAGGAAGTGGGTTTGATCCCTCAACTCCAAATTGTAGTGAACTTAAATCCAAATGATGACAACTGATTTGTAAAAGCTTCTAACTTGGCTGTAGTCACAACTTGGCAATTTAGACCACAGTTTGAAATGTGGATTTAAATCGCTTGCAATTTGGTGTTCAGTGTTGTGGTAAGCCCACTGTAGAGACTGTCACGCCAATATATCGGTGCTCTTTGCACCATAAACAGTTTTTTTTTTTTTTAATTCTTTATTTTTGTTGTGCAGGAGGTTACAAGACATTGACAGACGCCACAACAGCATATTGTAAGAGTTACTAGAGTTAGGTAGTGGCTTTAAAGTTTGCACTTTTTTTTATATATATTCACAGTTATAACCATGCTTGACTATACTATTAGAACTTCAGAATAAAAATATAAGTAAATAAAACGGTTAATGCCTAACATCGCTATTCTAGCTATGCCATTATAGTTATATCACAGGCTAAGCATGCTTGCATATTTTTTATGGTTAACGTAGTTTCTAATATGCTAGTCAGGGATGTCTAGGTTGGATGAGCTTGTAGCAGGTTCATGAGTAGTTCTAGACAAAGGTATTATAAAAATAACAAATAAGAACATAATAAATATAATTAAGCAATAAGTCGTGCGTTTTAGTTGACCTTCCATTCGAGTTAAGTATTGCATATCATGCCTATTCTGGTACACATGCTGTCACTGAACGTTGAGATAGGGCTTACACTAGACACGCTATTCTAAGGACTCACTGCTGCATATCATTCTATGGTTGTACAGAGAATTGTAGATCAATGTTTATCGTCTATTAGTTTAAAAAAAAAATAAATAAATAAATAAATAAATAAATAAAATAAAATTGCTTGCTGGGTGTGTGAGTATTTGCGAGTGTAGTTATATGCCAGCGCGTAACTTAGTTAATGCGCCCCCAAGCGCGGTATGGGCATTAAATCTCCCTGCAGTGTGTGGGGGATAGAGAGGGAAAGTAAAGTATAAAGGGGACCAAAACAGAATACTCTAAATTGGTTGGTCAGCGTGTCTGCCATCTAGTCTAGTGCGCCAGGGTGGTAATCAGAGAGAGTACAGTTTTAAGTGGCTTGTGGTGGAGGTCCTTAAACACTGTTCAAACCGATAGTCCCAGTAATTCTTAGCCGGAGGGAAGGTTCATACATATTCTTGGCAAAAAGGGAAAGACGTCCCGGTGAGCAGTCACGAGCTTAGAGTCCCAGTTCAAGTAGTGGCTGCTGTATTGGGTTCCGTGGGTCGTTGCCGTGGCACAAATTCTGGTGCTCTGGCCGAGTTCTTCCCAAAGCTGCTGCTTGTGGGACCTCTCTGCCCCATTGCAGATTCCAGGGTTGTCAGAGGGAGGTTTAGCTTCTCTAAGGCCCCTGCGGCCTCTTGTAGGTTCCGGGCTAGCACAGGGCCACTTGCGCCCTCTATGCGCAGTATCCGGCCAGGTCCCCAGCGGTATCGGATCTGTTGCTGCCGTAGGCGGGTGGTGATCTGCCGGAGGCACCTTCTCCAGGACAGTGTACCACTCGATACATCTGCATAGAAAGAGAGGGACGTTTCTTCAAAGGTATATGCTGACAGGCCCTTGATGGCGTTGAGTACTGTCCTTTTGTCTCTTGCTGTTTGGAAGCGGAGGATCACATCCCCAGTGGCCGCCGGTGGTGCTGTAATCGGCTTTGGGATACGAAAGATCCCATCCAGCGTGATCGTTTTTGCCACTTTTGGGGTCAAAAGCGTGGTTAGCAGTCGCCTGGCGTAGTGAGGGAGCTCTGCCTCTGGTATGGAGTCCGCGACCCCTCTTAGCTTTAGGTTCTTTTGGCGTCTTCTGTCCTCTTGTGTGTCTAATTGTTGTTCATGAAGTGTCACTTGCTGTTTCAGGTCGCGGACTGCCGCTTGCAGTTCCGCGATTTGGCTTGTGTG